AGTACAGTACTGGCCATAAAGGTATTTCAAAGTGGTTATTCGAGCATAATCTTTCTGAAAGTGGCTCAAATGACTTGAAACTGCGCACAAATTTTTAAAAATGGAGCGGTTCTGGTCGTTTTTTTCAAAAATCAGAACATTCTCAATTTCTCATTTCAAATTTCAAAGCTCTTTCAGAACCTTTATGAATAAAAAAATAAAAAAAGACTCACTGTGTTTTTGCTTACTTATTCAAAAAGATATAGCGAGTTATACTGAGTTTCTTGAAATTCTAAAAACTTCGTTTCAGCAAGTGTTGCTTAGAAGGCTCTAAATCTTGTGAAAGATGATAAAAACCCATTTTTTCATATTTTTAAATGTTTAAGATCATGAGATACATTTGTAACTCTTCTTTCTAGCTCTCAGGTCAAAAATAGGCACTGTAAAAAGTTTCTTCAAACTTTATGGGAAAATACGTTTTTGATCTTGTCAAACTAATGCTTCAGCAAAAAAGTTAGCAGTCTTCAGGAAGTAGGAGACTGCAACTTGGCCATTATTTATTCTCGAATTCACGATTGAAAAGCGATTGATCAGACAAAAACTGCTTTGAATGCACGTAAGTCCAGAAAGACTTTTCGAATCCGAGCTTTCAAAATCAGACCTATTGAAGTAAGCGAGTTCTGGAGAGAGGATATAGTGAAAAAGCTGAAAAAAACGGTGTGAAACTATTCTCAAGGGCGTTTCGAAGTTTTTCAACAGGAAACATGGTGTTCTCAAACAAAAATGACCTCGTATAGTCCATCTGAATGACGAGGCGTCAAAACGCAAAAGCCTTCCAAAGAAAAAGTCACTACGCTTTTACTATCGGGTTGGTAGGGAGCTGATTAGATTTTTTGGAAAGCCGAAGACTTCTTTTACCGGGGAAAAAAGTTTCTGATTTCAAATCGAAGTTTGTTCCAAGATATGATTTTTCGAATCTCAAGAGAAAAATCTTCATTTTCACGATTTTTGGTTTTTTGCTCTCAAATCCGGTCTTTCTTGAGCAAATGAGTTCTTCTTTTGGGAAAAAGTTACTGCGTAGTTATTTAAAATTCGTGCGCAGTTTCAAGTCATTTGAGCCACTTTCAGAAAGATTATGCTCGAATAACCACTTTGAAATACCTTTATGGCCAGTACTGTAGAAGTAAAAGCTGAATAACTTTCAGTTCACCCGGTTTACAAATACAAAGGCCAAGCGGGGTCGATCAGAAGTATAGATGGACATCCGACGGCGCCCCTTGTTGTTTCTTGTGGAATCGACAGATTTGTCAGGGTTCATGACATTCAGACGAGAAAGCTGGTTCATAAGGTTTTGGAGCCTGAACTCGGTGAATTTCTATAAATTTTCAAGATCTACTGCAAGACGAAGTTGAACAAGGTCCTCATGAGGAAGGAGGTCTCGATCCTGAACGACGGTGTCAAGAAGGAGCACGACGAGGAAGATTGGAATAAGATCAAGGTGGGGGTTAAGGGACTACTTGAGTGAAATTTCTACCGCAGATAAAACTATTTAACAAAAATACAAAAATAATGTTTTAACAAATTTTCAGCGATTTTGATCAAGTTTCTGTCATAATAATTATTTTCTCATTTCCTAGGGATTCCTATAGGGTTTTTAGCTTCAAGATCACTGGATATATATATTATTATATTTGGGGAAACTCAAAAGTTAAAAAGAGGCGTGACGCAAAAAAAGATTCAGTGCTTTTTTTTTCTCATTCTTATAGTCTGTTCAGAATGTCAAAGCTCAAATTCCAGCTCTTACTTAGAAATTTTAGAGATCCCTATAGGGACTGGGCGGGAAACAGCCTCTATAGGTACCGAAAAGCGGTCCCTATAGGGATAAAATCGAGGTGGTCCCTATAGGGGTTTCGGGTCTGACCTCTTAGCCTCTAAAGCTTAAGTGGTCCCTATAGGGGTCGTTCAATTTTGTTCAAAAAAGTTGTTTTTCATTTTTCGCATAGAAATGTTTCTTCGCAGAGAAATTATTGTTTAGCATGTCCCCTATAGGGACCACTTTTGCAAGCTTTAGTGGCCCCTATAGGGGATCTAAAGTGGTTCCTAGAGAAGACTTTACAAGGACCCCTAAGGGACCACTCTGCAGTTCAAAGTATGCATAGAACGAACCAATCAGAGAGCGAGCCCTCCACAGAGCGTTTTTTGAAAGCGGAGTTTGCTGCTTGAAAAATCTGAAATCTGAACAGACTATATCCGATTTTTCTTTTCACTTTTACGAGAAACTCGAATTTGCAATGTAACTATGGAGAGGAGGCGGAAAATGAGGTACCAGAAAAAATAATTGAAATAAAAATGTCTACTTCAGGACAATAGGAAGGTTTGGATCGTACATTTTTCCTCAAAAAATTCTCCCTTTTTTAGAAAGAGGACGTCGAGAGCGACGAGGACGATGATGATGACGTTGACGACGACGACGAAGATGACGACGACGTTTGGGAGAATCTTCCAGAAGATGACGACGCCGTGAAAGGCAAGAAGACGAAGAGGAAACAGGTTTTTGACCAGTAATAATTTGAAAAATAAAGTACTAAATTTAGACGGAAAACGCGGAGAACGAGTTGCCGAAGAAGTTGAAGAAGCCGACAAAGGGCCGGAAAAGGAAGGAGAGCGAATCGAGTCATGATGACGTTGAAGAGGTACAGAGAAACTAAGGGAAGAGGAGGATATTTGTAGTCTATGAATACTTTTGTGGGGGAAAATGAGACAGTTTCTACATATTTTTGACGTGGAATAATCATAGAAACCTGTGCCATTCAGAAATTTCACATCCTGATGATATTTTTAAAAAGCGGAAAATGAGGTAAAAATAATCTTCGAGTCATGATGACGTTGAAGAGGTGCAAAAACTAGGGGAAAAGGAGGATTTTAAATTTTCGAGGAACCTGAAAACCCAAGGTATTACACAAAATAAAGCCCATTTAGGGCTCAAAACTGTATTTCTCAAAGAGTTTTCTTCAGTTACAGGGTTGTTTTCTAAAAATTTTCGGTTTCTTTAGCTTCTTATTTGAGTAGTCAAAAGATCACCACAACCTTCTTTTTCCTTCAAGATCGAACCAACTGGAGAGCCAAAAAAGAAGACAAAGCTATCGCGTGGGAAAAAGCGGAAGGAGGAAGATGATGACGTCATCGAGGTGAAACAGGAGCCTGCTGATGACGATGAACTTCCCCCTACGGTTGCTCCCAAACTGAAAAGGAAGAAAAAGAACAAGTCTTAGTTCTTAAGCTCAAAATTCAGAGTTTAGTTCTTGAAACGCTATGAATGAACTATATTTCATGATTTTATTGTTGCTTGTTTTTTTCTTTGAAAAATTTTTTGTAGAAAATTTAAGTTTTATCCAGATTATTCCTCATTGTTGCGCTTCGTTTCTCATCCATTTCCTATTCCTTGCTAGAAGTCTTGAATTTGATCGATTTTACTGAATTTTACACGTTTTCAAAGTATTTCATTGTTACGTTTTGTTGTTATTCCGATTGTTGTCTGTTGATTTTTCTTCCCTTTTTTCGTATTTTTGGTTGTGTTCTCCACTCAAAAAACGCTTTTTTTTATTCTAGAAGCTGAAAAAATCGAAGAGGCTTTTTCCTCACTGTTTTTTAAACAGGGAAAATCAGAAAAAAATATTATTTCACTATTATTTTTTTAGTAAAAAAATTTAGTTATTTCTAAAGCTAAAAAAACTTAAATTGAGTCGTTTTAACAGAAAAAAATGCCGACACGAAAAAAATATCGTATCTTTAATAAAAATAACTTTTTTTAAAAAAATGTTAAATGCTCGTAAAATTAAATGTATCGACCGCAACTTTAAAAAACCGTGTATGCGGTGTAAACACAGTAACCTACGTATATTTTAAAAATAGCTTAAAAATTTTGTTCTTCGCAGGTTTAAATTAAAAGAACATGATAAATATAGAAAACTATTCTTAATTATAGCGAATAGCCAACATTATTATCTATAAAAAGACTTTCGAAAAGCTCCGTTTCCCAGCGGAAATTCAAAATCAAAAAATTGCAATCAAACCATTTATGTTCCGAAATACAACTAGAAACAACGAAAATAAAGAAAACAGATATAATAACTATGACAATGGGTACCGGTAGAAAGACTTTCAGTAGGGAATTGAGACAAACAAGAAATCTGGCAATGAAATCATGGGGCAATTTGAACAAATGACTAAACAAAAGTCTAACATTATTTCAAACTAATTGATGTTGCTCGGTGATTTGGAAGACGTCGTCGTCGTTGTTGCGAATCTTGGATTTTTTCGGCGTCGAGAAGGAAACGACTAAAGAAAAGAGTAGAATAATATACTTGAAGTCCCAAAAAGGGAAATTGAACTGATGAATTGATATTTTCAACGCCAAAAAATGAATAAAATCCGATTTCGAGCGGAAAAAATGCTAAATTCAAGCTTTTAGCTGTAGAAATGATAGAATTCAGCTTGGAACTGTAAAACCTAGTTAGATTCAGGGATTATTAACTGAGAATAATAAAATTGAAGGTTCTGAGCTAAAAAAAAATGGTTGAGTTAGGCTTTTTCGTTTCAAAAAGGTTCAAAGTAAACATGCTAAAAAAATGATAAATTTCATGAATTCAACCTTGAAAAAGTTCGAGAAAAGATTATTTCGTTAATTATAATATTAAATAACGCCCGTCCAAGTATAAGAAAATTTAAAACAAAAAAACTAAATTTACAGTGTCCGTATTAACGAAATATCTCAAGCCAACTTTAAGCTTCAGAAATTTCCCAATTCTATAAATTGTCCTCACATCGATGACGATTAGTATCGATGCTCTCATGGAGCGGCAAAAACGAGTCCTTCGGTCGACCTTCTCACCGGCGTCCGCTCATTCTGCAAATTATAATTTTTTTCAATCGATCAATCAATCAATTGATAGATTTCACTGCCCCTCAAAAAAACATAAAATCAATTTTTGAAAAGCCAAAGTGGCATGAAGTGGTTTTTTTCACGTACACGGCTCTTTTTTTACGATTTTTATGATAACTTATTCATTTTTTTCATGGTGCCGTAATTTCGCTTGAATGAAAAAAAGGGTACTTGTTCATGTCCTTCGAAAAATGATCAAGAAAAGAACTGACGACAGTCTCAACGATGACGGGCGGATGAGGGGTGACGACCTCGTGCAGCTCGATGCTCCGTTCTCCGTCCGACTCCGTGTCCGTCGACAGATGGCGCGATTTTCGGCGGACACTTCGCCACATTCCAAAGCCTCCGATAGATCGTGTCCGCGTCGAGGAGGAGAACTGGAAAAAAATTGGTTGAATTTTTTTTTTGTTCAAGCTTTTGTTTGATATCCTACAGGGAGAACTTGGGAAAGTCTTGAAAGAAATGGGACTCCAGAGTGGTCCCTATAGGGGCTACCTCAGAGGCTCTTTTAGGTTCCCCTTGAAGGACCACTTTACCAAACCAGCCCCAAAAAGGGACCCCTAAAGCTTGCAAAAGCAGTGGTGTCTAAAAGGGTTTCAGTTAGCAAACCTTAGAGGCCCTTTAAGGTTCCTCTCTAGGGACCACTTTACCAAACCAACCCCTATAGGGGGCCCCTAAAGCTTGCAAAAGCGGCCCCTAAAGGGATTTCAGTTTTCAAACCTTAGGGGCTCTTGGAAGTTGTCCTCTAGGTATAAATATACCAATTCAGCCCCTATAGAGGCCCCTTAAGGGGTTTCAGTTAGTGTCCCCTACATGGATAATGTTAGTGGCCCCTATAGGGGTCATTTTTGTGGTTCATACCCGATTCAAGGGCACGCTTGGACTCTTGATGACCCTGGATACCGGAACTTGCCCGGTTCCCACTTGAATCTCGCCGCTTTCGTCCTCGACGTCTTCAAGGATGGTTCCTTCGGCCTCCTACAACGTCTCCACATCTGACGTCTTCGGGTCAAGACGAACCTTCATGGTAGGGAGGTGCTTCTTGGCATGAGTACTGGCCCTTCGGTCGATACTCTGACGAGAGCCGGCGCCCCGGACTGCCACCGAGGCAGCCGACGAATCCGAGTGGGGGTCGGCCATCGTCGGCGTGTAGGATCGGGTTATTTCTGAAAAAAAGGGACGGTTACTTTTTGATTAGGCAACGGAAAATCAGAGTTATTTCATGATTAGGCAACGATTTTTGAAAAAAACCAATGGGTACGGAAGTTTTATAAATTGTCGTGGAATTTTCTCTGTTACTCCAAAATTTAGTTGTCTTTTTTCATTATCTGACAGCTATTTTGAAGTTCGCGTAACCACTTTGAAAATGTTATACGGACTTAGAAATTCAATTAATGATAACAATAGAGTTCTATTTAATTTTAAAAAATATTGTTTGACTTTTTCAAAATTTAGTAGAAGCTTCTCAGTAGCCTGTGATAGCCCAAGCCCTCGGCTTTTTGATCTTTCGAAAATCCGGAAAAACCAACCCATCGGCTTCAAGGAGAGCTCCTCGCGCAGTAGGGTCAGCTCACTGTAGCAACTGAAAAAAATTGAGACATCAATTTCTCAAAATGTTCTTCCACTGTCTTCATTATGAACCATTACTAAAGCGTCATAAGCAATATAAGTAGGGACCGCAAGCCATTTCTTCAGAACGATTCAAAAAATATGTTTTTCACATTGTTCGATAGAGGAGACTGTCCATTTTCATAATCCGTTTAGTTTTTGAAAAAAGCTTCACTAAGAAAAAAGTTATGGCCAAAAAACGAGCGCGCGCGGCGTACAACTGGAGGCAAAATCTCACGGTTTACCCGCTGCCGCACGCTTTCTTTTTAAATGTTTTTACGCGGTTCAGGACCGTTTTTAAATCGGTTTTCTGTTCTGAGAGGTTGTCCGAACTGAGCCTCATGTTTTGGTATGAATCTTTTGTACAATCCTCATAAGAATTTTTGATAAAATATCAAAAAACTACCTAGAAAAAAGGTCAAAGGGATTTTTCAGCTTATTTTTCTTTTTTCTACTCAGAAAAATTATTATCATTCGATTTGGAAAAAAGAAAAAATGAAAAATAATGTTATTTCGAAATAAAACAGGAAAAAGTGCAATTTGACTCCGAAAAACGGCTCCTGCGACATTTAAAAGGGCGCATCGGTGTGTTTGACGCAAACACTGCTACGGACGCTTGCACGAAATCTTCCGAAATTTCAAAAAAAATTGCCATTTTTTCGAGGTTTTCAAAGCCGTTATTTTTTTCGCGTCGATCGATTTTTTTCATAATTTTTTCATTGATAGAGTTTTGAACGCTTAATAACATAATCAAAAATATAGACGCGATCCTATTCTCTCATGCGTCAACGAGGCAGGCGAAAAAAGGAGGTTTTGGTAAAACTCAAATATAATTTGATTCGCTGTCCCAATAATTATTTTCGTTTTGAATTTTTATTTTTGGACACACTGTTAGTTTTTAAATCAAATAAAAAGTATACCATTTCGCTGAAATTTTTTCGCATTTCAGCTTCAAAGTTTGGTGTCACTTTACAAGCTTTAATATTTTTTTCGCGTCGGTAGATTTTTTATTTTTTTACTCAAAAAAATAAAAGAAAGTGTTAATGTATAACATACTTAAAATTTAGAAGCGTTCCTCACTTGCTTTTTCTGAAACGCGACGATTTTTGTGAAACTTGTCAGTTTTTTTGTGTTAAATCTTACTTTTTTTCGCTTATTTTTTTGAAAAAAATACATAGTTTAAAAAAATATTCAGTCTTGTAGAGCGTTGTCGATTACATAGATTAACAGAAACAGTTCATTTTTAAAGTGGGACTTTAGCTAGTATAAACGCCTCAAAACCGTTTTTGCAACAAAAAAATCGTCATTTTGGTGGCGTGAAGGGGCGGGGCTTTGCGCCCCCTAAATATAAGCAACAAAAAAAAAACGAATGTTCCCAGGAAAATGAGGAAAATGCTTCAAAATGGTCAATATTCTCAATTTCAAAGACCTTGTTCCATTTTGAACTTTTAAAAAGCGCTGAAAAGGTATTTTTTCATAGGCGAAACGAAAAAGGGTATCGCGAGACCCTCTGAGGTATATCGCAGGCTCTGAAGTCTCACGATGGTACCTCAAGGATACCTCTGAGGACTTTGAGCAAAATGAGAGACTCTGAAGTACCTCCGAGGTGGTTCAGATATAGCTAAAAAGTATGCCGGAAGTCTCACGATGGACGAATTATGGGGTCTCCACGATCCATTATGAGAGGTACCTTTGTGGTCACATTATGGTACCTCTCGATTCGCCTGTGTTAATCGGCTTTACGATAAGCTTTCTTGTAAAACTGAAATTTCCATCCTTTTCTTTACTTTTCACAAATCATTCTATCTTCCTACTATTTATCCATCAGTTGTTCCTTTTTGAGTTGGATCCTTTCTTTTAAACAAATAAACATATATTTACAATTCCCCATCAGGAAAATAAACCGAAATCCCGGTTTGAAAATGAATTTTGAGCAATCCGCAAGTTATATCGAACAGTCTTTCCCGATTTCCAATCATACACAAGTTTTTTCACACTCCAAATCCGGACCGATTGAGAAGAACCGCTGCCGGGACGGTATTATGTCTGTTGGCGTCGATTTTCTCGAGGATTTCCGCCTGCCAGGCCGCGTCCTGCTCACTTCCCGGCTTCTGCTTGACCTGAAAAATCTCCTGAATATTCCTGATCTTTCTCCCGAGGCTCACCTTATTCTGGATCAAAGGTAAGATGAAAAGGGCGATGGGGAGGTTGGCATGGAGCAGAAAATCGACGAAAGCCACGGCACTCGGAGCTCCGGGCTTTTTTGCGATCAGATCTGGAGAATATCGAAAATGGGGAAAATAGCTTGGATACAGCACATTTTACAGGAAAAAGCCGCAAAAAATCGGTTTTCCCTACTTTTTCAATACACTTCCCTCTACTAGTGTGACGGTGGGGCTATAAATTCCGTTTTGAAAGTTGAAATTTCAAATTGAGACCTCCCAAAATGAATAAAACCTTCAATTTTCGAACCATATCAAGCAAATTATCTTTTCCCGAGATTATATTTATTCTTCTTCAAATTTATCAACGGAGCGCATAATCCTCAACAAAAAAAAGGCGATTTCCTCACCCTTGACAATCCGGGCGACCCGCGGCCACATCGACGTCAGGAGCTTGCCAAACGCCAACATCAAAACTTTCAGGGCTGAAAAACGTCATTTATTTTCCAATGACCATCAACCCATTTTTACCAAGATAAATGCATTGGCAGACACTTTCGCGGACGATTCTATGGGTTGAAACCGTGGCTGAATGGCCACGATCCGTCACAGAAACTGATCCTTGCCGGCCGCTCAGATCTGAGAAAAAAAAACCTTTTTGTTGAAACATAATACAAAAAGTCTTCTGAAAACCGATTTTTGACGTGACCTGGGTTTTTTCAACGGAAATTAACTTTATTTTGTGACTTGATAAAAGTTTAAAAGTACCTTCAGCTTAATTTCCAATATCTGAATCAGATCAAAAAATTTACAGTAGCTCTGAAAGATCATCTACTTGAATAAAAAGACACTTTGAACCGAAAAATGATGGTTTCGATAGCAAAATCTTCATTAAACTGAATACCTCTTAAAGGTATTCTCCCTGATAAAAATAATGCTGTCACACCTCTTCATCCATGTGAAAAAAAACCTTTTTCTTCATTTAATCGAAAAATTCAGCTCAAAACTCTAAATATATGAGTTACTTCATTCAATCCCTCAAAAACTGTCATTCTTGGCACTTTCTAACTTTTCTAACTATAGTTCCTAGCTACAAAGTTCTTCAAATTGCAGCAAATCGCGCATTTTTGAGAGAAATGAAGCTTCTAGGAGCTCTCTATTCGCCCTCACCATGTCCCTGAGTTCCTCTAATGAAGGTCGTTGCCAAGGTGGAGGTGCTGATGAGAGGGGCGACGGATTGCTTGGCAATTGGTGGAGAAATGGCGTTTTGCATCAGGGAGAGACAATAGTTCAGGTCTTTGCTTTGGAATATCGAGGCTTCTGTCAATAAATTCGTTAGGAGAAGCTCAGAATTTCGAAAATACTCTTGAAAAGGCCTCTAATTCTACTTCATAGTAAATCCTAGGGTTTTCAAAAAAAATCACTTAAGGAGTTGGACTATGAAAGATTGAAAAGTTAAGAAACAGTAAGCAAATCTGTTATATTTTCCCATTTTAAGACAGTTTCTGAAATTCTTCTCGTCACATTCAAACACCATATCTCCAAAGACTGAAATAACATAATTTGGGGCCAAAAAAACGAATTTCTGAAGAGAAAGGCACCTTTCGGGTTGTTCTGAACCCTCAAGAACAGAGGAATCAAAACGTGAACGAGGACCGCTTCGAGCCGCTCTGCCGACACGCCCATTCCCTCAGTACTCGTGACAAATTCCAGGGAGAAGGCGAACTGGAAAGAGTATCATCAGCTCGTTATTGAAGGTCGAGTCGATGAAAATTATAGTAATTCTAACTCTTCATAGCCAGGCTTGTGCAAGGGCCTGGCCGTCAGTCTCGGCCCGGCCATTTTTAAGCCCGACGCAGCTCTCAAGCAAAGAATTTTATGGAAAATGAGAGGAACTGTTTGAAACTTTTTTCAATTTGAGCTAAAATTGAGAGCTACAGGAGCTGGACGTTTTACTGCCACTAAAGTATGTATTTTCAAAAATCCGAACTTCCTCCCCAAGTAAAATCCCCAACTACCTAACTTTCCATTTCGAAAGAAAACCCCAAAGAAGGACCTGTCCCAAGGCTTGCATGAGCAGCGTAGTGAGCCGCAGGACGGCGACGCTGAAAATCTGAGGCGGGGTGGTCGGATGGAGTACGGTAGTCGGGTGGAGGGCCGTCGACGGGGCGCCGTCCTCGAGGCATGGATCGCCGACCATGATCCTCAGGCAGAGCTGCGTGATCGTCTGTAACTTCTCTATTGTTCTCTAGGCACATGACCTATCCTCGGGGAGCTCAACTACAGAACTCGTCGACTTGCTCTTCATTTTATAGCCCATTCGTCTTCAAACAGCCTGACTTGTCTGCGCTCTCTTTTCTCTCACCGTTAAATGAAAAGAGAAGAGAAGAAAGGGATTTGATGCCTTGTTGAGAAAAAATTGTCAATTTCAGAATATGTAAAGTTTTGGCGATGGGCGATACTAAAAGCTTAAAAACCAAGTTCAGTGAATTTCTCAAGGCTTTCAAATTTTCATGACTCAGAAGCTCCCAGGACATTTTTCAAAGGCTCCAGAAGCTTCTTTTTTAAAGCCCAGAAGCTTCAGAAGATCGTTATGTTGGTTAAAAGGCTCCAGAATCTTCTTTTTCTCAGCTAAAATGCTTCAGAAGCTTCTTTCTCTCAGCTCAAAGGCTTCAGAAGCTTTTTCCCCTTGATTAAAAAGGTCCAGAAGCTTCTTTTTTCTCGATTCAAAAACTCTAGAAGCTTCTTCTCTTTGAATCAAAGGCTCCAGAAGCTTCTTCTTTTCTCGATTCAAATGCTTCAGAAGCTTCTTTTTCCCAGCCCAAAGGCTTCAGAAGCTCCATTTCCTTGGTTCAAAGGCTTCAGAAGCTTCTTTCCCTTCGTTCAAAAACTACAGAATCTTCTTTTTCTCAGCTCAAAGGCTCCAGAATCTTCTTTTTCTCAGCTCAAAGGCTCCAGAAGCTTCTTTTTTTCAGCTCAAAGACTTCAGAAGCTTTTCGCTTCTTTCTTTCAAAGCAAAGGCTTCAGAAGCTTCTCACCCTCGATTAAAAGGCTTCAGAAGCTTCTACCCCTTGTTCAAAAGCTCCAGAAGTGTCTTCTTCTAGGCTCTCAAAATCTTGGTCAGCACCTTCAAGGGATGTAGATGAGCAATGTAGGGGAAGGCGTTGAGGGTGTCGCAGATGCCGTTGATCCAGCAGCTGATCGCGACCCAGTTGACACGTCTTCGGATGCTCTGCCGTTTGGCGATCTTGGCCAGGGTCTTGTCCAGCCGTCGGAGGATGATGTTCAGAGCCGAGCGGTTGGATTCGATAGACCAGTCCGTCACGGGCAGGATCGCCGTGAAGTATCTGAAAATTGTCGGTTTTTGAAAGTTTTGCCTTTTTTGAGCTCCTGAATCATCATTTTAGTAGATAAAATTAATTTTTGGGGTCTATAGGACCTAAAAACTAGCCAAAAGATGCCAAAACGTCTTAGTTCAGATCCTGTATGCTTCAGAATACATGAATTTTTGAAAAATGACTGTTTTTTCAAATCCCTCACTTTTGCAGTCCCTGACAAGTCATTGTCGCCAGATCATATGGGGCGATTTTGAGAAGAGCCAGGGCAATCTCGCCGAGTTTGACGTGGCATTTGTGGTCGAGGACTTCTTGGATTTTAACGTGTTCGATGTTGGCGCTGAGTTTCGTCAGCTCTTTCAGTCTGAGAACATGGTAATCGGTAAGTATTTTCAGGGGTGATCAAACCGAACAGTCGCCGTTTCGATAAAGGTGGCCGAGAGCTGGAGAAGGGTATCTCGAGGCCGACGGTAGGCCTCTTTCTGCTGCTCTTCCACTTCGGCCGCTTCCCATCCGACCGCCGTCGATCGCTTTTCCTTCCTGAAAATGGGTTTGTTTCGGATTCAATGATGAGTTATACAGCAGTTGTTCCTCAAGAATCCTAAAAAAATATTCCTTCTTTTGTCCAAAAAATAGTTAAAACGAGAAGCATTCCAGTATTTGTACAAGAATATTGTTGTTGAGCTTGTAATCAAATTTTCCGTGGGAATTTTCAGCATACGTGGGCAGGACAGTTTCAAAAGGCCTCCTCAAGAGTCAAGGCATAAAAAGAAGTTGTTGACAAGAATAAAAGTTTGGAGTGATTTCAGTATAGTGAGGAAACTGTCCTGCCCACGTACGCTGAAAATTCCCACAGGAAATTCGATTAGAAGCTCAACAACAAAATTCCTGTATAAATACTGGAATTTGTCTCGTTTTAACCATTCTTCCACCTCAAACGCTCCACCAGCGTCCAGGCAACTTCGTGCCGTTTTGAATAATTTTTCCTCTAGAAGTTCTGTCCCGTAACGCAAAATTATCATAACCGCAAGAGCCTTCAGAAGCCAATTATACCTTCTTTTTTCCATATTATTGTTTATACTGTAATAAAAAATTTAACTATCTTCCTTTTTGAAAAAATCTTAAGAAAAGTCTGGAAAAACGAAATTTCAAAATTCTGTGCCAAAAAATCGTTTGGAATAATTTTTTTCTCTAGAAATTCTCTCCCGTAACTCATAATTATCATTACCGCAAGAGCTAATTATCCTTTTTTCCATATTATTTTTTATACCTGCAAAAAAAATATGTCTTCGATGGCACCTTTTTGAAATGTAAGTCCTAGGAAAAATCTGGAAATCATGATTTCGAAACTTTTGCGCCAATAAATCGTTTTGAACCATTTTTTTTTTCTTAAAGACCTGTCCCGTAACGCAAAATTATCATTACCGCAAGAGCTAGTTATCCTTTTTTCCATATTACTTTCATACCTGTAATAGGAAATATAACTTTCCGTCTGAGAAAAATCTGGAAAAACGGGATTTCGAAATAAACTACCAGGTGTTGAAACTGTTTCCCATGATATCCCAAAAATGAATTTTCCAAAAAATCATTCCTCCATTGTCCATCAAAACAAGCGATTGTTTACATCATTTTTTGGAAAAAAATTTCGAGAACAAAGAAAAAAGAAAGAAATCGGCGATGGTGTATGATAATTTGTGATCGGCGTGACCGCATCTGAGTCATATCGCCGAGCGCGGGGGATATGCGAATTCCGCCGTCATTTTCTGCTCTTCCACCTTTTTTCTCCGTTGTTTCATTTCCTTTCTTTGTTTTTTGACAGCATATACCGTATGGAGTGAATAAACATATTATTATTATTATATACAACTTCAGATCTTCTCAGCAACTTCGAATGCCGGGATCGAAGAAAAAGGAAATGGCCAAGAAAAAGGTAAGTCTACTTTTCTTCTCGGTTCATGAAAGTTTCAAAACCCCGATTTTATCCAAAATCAAATTCAATATACTGTTCCCTCTGATAATTCTGATCTTATCACCGTCAAAAAAGCCTAAAAATCTCTACCAAAATCAATAAATCTTTTAAGATGTGCGCAAAGCTGGTGGACATCCAGTCCGACATTCCGGCCGATCCTGAACCGGAATACTTCAAGTTCAAACTGTGCGGCCACGAGGTTGTAACCACGGGCAATCCGGAGAAATGCCCGATCCCCTGCACCGCGATCTGTCAGCACGGCTTCCAATGCGCCTTGCCATGCGGCCATGGTCAGATTAATTTCTTTAAATCAACGCTTCAGTATTTTGAAGTTACTCTATGTCTTCCAATGACTTTCCTTCACAAATTTAAATATTTCCAAGCCAATCAAAAGCTAGATCCTTTGATCGAGCTGTCTAAGCTTGAAAAAAGGCCTCATACTGGAAATAGTCCGATTAAATGGCTTCTTAGGGTTCGAATTTCATCATACCACGTTAAAGTTCCTCTTACCAAGCTCTCTAGGGTGGCTGTACCAGTTCTAAGGTTGGAAAATCCAATGGGTGCTTCTAGAGCTCGATAAGGTATATGTGATCCTTCTACAAAGGTACCGATTCATAATTTTGGGTTTTCGGGGTCCTAATTTTATTAATACTCTCCTCATTGCTTTTCCCAAAGACATAACCCTAAATTTGCAGCGCCGCTGGACGTGGCGCACTTCACCGGCTTCTGCAAGTACCACGGGAAGAAACAGCCCGAAATTAAAAGATTTTCGATGAGGTAGCTTTCAAACTGTCTTCCGTTCAGAAAACCGGATTATTTCAGCAATGAGGAACATGAAATGCTCGTGTGGTGCGAAACGATCAATTTCAAAATGAGGATGTTCCGGCACCGGATCGAAATCGAGCAAGTCGAGTTCGAGAAAAACTTCGACTCGGAGAAACATCCGAGGGTGATTGAGAACCGCAAAAAAAAAAGCCGGGATAAAAATGATGATTACAGATGTACGAGATAGTCACAAACATGGGCATATCGATGTTTAAGATCTTGGGCAAGGGTCTCGAGCGTTACCGGATGATCTACGGCGTTCAGCATTTTCTGTTAGCTTTTTTTTATCATTCTGATTAGCTGCTTTTCCAAATGAAAAATTGAAAAAGGTTCTGGCTCAACCGGTATTATATTTTCACGCTGTTTAGAGGTCTCTAGCTCCGTTCTCGACTCCGTTTTTGTTAATTTTTCTACAGTAGCTTGATTTTAAACTGCATCATTCAAAAAGCCTGTAGCTCAGCCGTTGAAATTTCTGCTTGCTTTTCGAAGCTCCCACCTTTCATTTTGAAATTACTATAGATCAACAGTTAGTCGCAGACAATATTCATTCTGAGATATTTCAAAATATCTTGAATTTCTTGTTCCAGACTCTTGGCCACAATGACCGACGCGGCTCTTCTCATCTTCCACCTGACCAAGGTTGAAGACGCCCTCATTCATGGTGCACTCTTCTGCGCGGTGAGTATTTTCAGAAATTCTCATGGTTCTCATTTGAACAACTTTTAAATGGAAAATGCGTCGAATTTTAGCTAAACTTTCAAGACGACGCTGACCTTTCAATCAGAACGTAGTAAGCCATTCCAAATGCGACCGCTTCTACTTTTGTTTCTCAATCAAAACAACAGCAGGCCATTCCAAATGCGACCGATTTAAAGCGTCTATTAGTATCTCAATGAAAACGGAGCGCAACCGCAGCGCAGCTAACCATTCCAAATGAAACCAGCTCTTCTCTTTTCGGCTTCTTCCAATAGATTCCAATACTTGGGCTTTCATTCTGTCTTTCCATCAAAACGCAGCGCAACCGCGACGCATCTAACCATTCCAAATGCGACCAGTTTTCCTCGTATCAGCTTCCTCTAACAAGTTCCAAAGTCTGAGCTTTCATTCCGTCTCACAATCAAAACGCAGCGCAACCGCGACGCATCTAACCATTCCAAATGCGACCAGTTTTCCTCGTATCAGCTTCCTCTAACAGATTCCAATGCCTGAGCTTTCATTTCGTCTCCCAATCAAAACACAGCGCAACCGCGACGCATCTGACCATTCCAAACGCTACCCATTTAAGGCATTCATGATCATGGGCGCCGCCTTCTGCGACAAGAACGTTGACGTTCCTGACGAAACGAACATGAGAACCCTGTTCCTGTACTGCGAGGATGCTTGGAGCAACTTGCAGGTACGAAAAGTTCTTGGCTTAAACAAATTCGATTTTCGTTTTTTTCAGCGGGTGTGCCGCTTCAGTGATCAGCTGGACACGCTGAATAGCATTCCGAAAAATGAGATTCTCGAAGAGATTCTCAAAGATTGCCGCATTTTCGAGGAGATGACCGAGGAGCAGATCAAAAAGGCCTTGGATATCGATTTTTGATTATCCAATTCTTGAATCTATCCTAATTCATCGTAACCATGTTATTTATACCCCTTGTCTACTAGAAAAATATAATTTTTCTTTAATCCTTAAAAGTACACGAAAAACAGTGATTCCAAGTTTTTGGAGCCCTCAAAACTCCTTTTTATTTTGAAAAACTGTCCTTTTTTGATATTGTTCATTCACTTTCTACTATTTTTAAGAGGTTTTCATCCCATTTTTTTTCCTAAGGCTCTCGATTGCCTATTTCTTCATATTCTATTGATTTTTGCATTTTTGTTGTATCGATTTTGCCTTATAATCCTTTTTTTGTATCGATTTTCGCCTTATAGTCCATTTTTTTGGTATTCACTCCTTTGTTTTTTAAATGTCTTCCCTTAAACGAATTTACATTTTATTCATCATTTGATCAATTTATTCCTATTTTATAAGAATCAAAGCCTCCGAAGTGCCTATTTTCCCAATTTTCGTAACCAAAAGGCCTTAATATAGACTGTTGCCTTATTCTCCATGCCAAATTTTCCTCTTTTCAATCAATTTAGCCCGATCAGAGTCCTAAAACCGAAACTATCCATTTTTCTCGTCACTTATTCCTTCTTAAAGTTCAATAAACGCTTCCGGAGGCCAGACGCCTTGTCTCATGACATTTGCAGGAAAGAAGGTGACTCACAAATGGTAGGGCCTCGTATTTTCGTCGTCGTTGGTCGTGGGTGGGTCGAAGAATTGCGGCGAATCGGCGACGAACGATTTCCCACGCTCCGAAACCGAATTAACCAATTCGAATGCTCTTTGTGGGCCTCTGAAATCACAAACTATACACGTTAATTTGAGAAAAAAAAGGGATTTTTTCAATTTTAAAGGCTCTACTGACTTCAAAGTTCAGCAACTTTAGGATTTTGCGTTGAAAATCAAAACTGCAAAATTCGAGAGAAATCAAAGAAATATTTTTTGATATTTTTTGAAGTTACTGTTTAAAAAGATCCACTTTTGCAAGCTCACTAGCCTTTTTTTTTCTTTTTTAATGCAGGAAAAGTTCCATTTAAATTTAATTTGTCATTTTTTGAGGATTTCCGTACTACAGCTTAACTAGGCAATTAGAATAGGTTTGATTTTTAGATATAAATATTCATCAAGTAGAGTTTTATTAAAAAAACATTGAAAAACTTGAACAAAAATCAAATTGAAAAAAAAATCGTAAATCGACGAAAATTGCTCGTAGAATAAAACGTATTGTCCGCAATGACTCAGTGTCAACGGTCGCCTGCGTTACAGTAACCAGAAAACCAAAAAAATCGAAAATAATAATCAAATTGTTTGAAGTCGACTTCTAAAGAACACTAAGGTTTTGAAAAAATGTGAAATAAATTTCGTATCAATCAATTTCACAATTTTTCCTATTGAAGCAGTCTAGTAGCGAAAAATGCTTCCAATATAATATTTTATCAATTATTATTTCATTCTAATCATTGAAAAACATGAAAAAAACATGAATTTGAAATGAATAAGTAAATCGACGAAAAATTGCTCGTAGAATAAAAATGTATTGTCCGCAATGACTCAGTGTCAACGGTCGCCTGCGATACAGTAACCAGAAAACCAAAAAAATCGAAAATAATAATCAAAATGTTTGAAGACGACTCTCTTTCTTCTAATGAAAACTAAGGTTATGAAAAATGTGAAATAATTTTTTTTATCAATCAATTTTATAATATTTCATAGCGAAGCAGTCTAGTAGCGAAAATACTGCTTACAACCGCTTAACCATATTTTTTCTTCAGAAATCAGCTTCTAGAGCAACTTGCGAACCTTGCAAGGGTCTCGCAGCTGTTGATGAGGGCCTTCATCTCGACGGACATTGTCATCCACTGGGCGATCTCGTGCTTCACGGACGTCACCGCGTTGCCCGACAGAAGCGTCTCTTCTTCCAGTCGTCGCATCAGGTGTGGCAGCATCGCTTGCATCATCAACTGCAAGCCGTTCATCAGAATCATCCGGTTACGAGAAATGAGATAAGGAATCAAATACTTATAAGTTGAAGGGCAGCCATTTCAGGTATACAGAACTGACAGCTGAGCTGTTTTGGAATGAGACCGAATTTCCTATTCAAATCAGATCAGGTCAAGCTTAGAATCGAATAGAGTTATTGAAAAATCTTCTGAGTTTTTTGAAGTCCTAACACCCCTTCAAGTACCACCTCTACGCGGTGATGGGGAGGCAACGCCATTTATGGCGGCTAACGGTACACCGGTCACGCAGTTCGGCTTGCTTCTGCTAACAGAATGGGCGATCTTTTTTAGCCCTGGCAAGGCAAAAAGGATAATCAGACCAAAATTATGCTATAACACGTTCAACACCACGGATGGAACTTTTTCGCAAGAATACCAGTCAACCAGGACGACAAAACTGGATGACCGATTGCATAAGACCTCCTGGAAAACGTGTGGTCCACGCTTCGATCAATAAAAGGCACTAAAAGGCAATAAAAGGTCGAAAGCGAAGATGGACCATCTAAGTATCTAAGTAAGTAAGTAAGTAACATTATGAATCTCCTGAAAGGCTTCAAAATTTCCGTTAGATGTTTTTCCTGACCTTCAAATTTTAAATTTTATTTTCAAATCAGAACAGGTCAAGCTTAGGATCGAATAGAGTCATTGAAAAAGCTTCTGGCAAACTTCCAAGCCTAAGACAGCCTATCGATTACTTCTTAAAAGCTCCAGAAGATTCTGATATTTCTGAAACCCGTCAATTTTCTTTCTTCTTTCAGAGCTTCTATTTTTCAAATTCGTGATCGGAGCAGTTCGAGCTCAGAATCGATTTAGGTTATTTAAAAAGCTTCTAAACAGTTTTTCAGCCTGTAGATCTCAGTCTATATTCAGATTTTGAATGTCAAGTAGAATGACTTCATTCGAAAACGCTCTGTGGATGGCTCGCTATTAGGGGGGCGGAGCTTCAGGACTTGACATTTGAAATCTGAACAGACTATACATCAGTAAATTTCGATTGAAACGGGTATTTCAAGGTTCATCGAGGTTGGAAAGGTGCTGCTCACTGCTCACTCCCCAAATGGCATAACGGCTACATCATACAACTTCTGAAAAGCTCCAAAAGATTGCTACTCGGAGCAGTTATAATCAATATTAGTTCTTGAAAAAGCTTCTGGACAGTTCTCAAGCTTAACACAGCACATCGATCCTATTCTGAACCGTTTCTCAGAAAAATATCGGAAAATTTCTTCAAAAAGTCTTTCGCCAAGCTTCTCCATCGAAAAGCTTCCAAAAGAATCCCAGAACCCACCAGCATGTGATGACTTCTTTTGCTTTCCGGGGCAAACGCGCAAACGCAGATACAGCTCGCCATACAGTCAGTCAGGACGCAGAAGGTGTTGGGATCATCCCGATAGCAGAGATCCAAGGCCTGAAATAAAATAATTGACATGAATCTGAAGCCGAAATTCATAGCATAGATGAGCAATTATAGAACTAATTCAGTCCTGGAGGAAAGGTTGGCTTCCAAAACTTGGAAAATTAACGATTAAATCAAATTTAACCTCAGGGAGGTAATTTTAGGCAAAATACACAAGCTTTAACCTCATGAAGGTAGTATCACCTTTAATTTAGGAAAACATGAGAGGAGGGGTCGGAAAACTGTCTGTTCATGTAAGATTCAGAGCTGGGCGCTCAACTAATTATAATGAGAAGAGGCCTGATTTTGGAAAGTCATCATGAAGTGGCCTCTTTGGATTCGACTATAGTGGCCACTAAGACGCAAAACAGTTGCTTTTTTAGGGGAAACTTCAGAGTCCTTGAGGAACCTCTTAAGTGGCCATTCGCAAACTTTAAAGTACCATAACTCCGCGGAAAGGCAAGAAACGTTGGTTTTTTTCTTGTTCTGAAATGAGGGAACCTGAAAGTACATTCCAGCGAATTTTGATCAATCTCTCAAACTGTGTCCCTTCTGGAATACACCTTCTCGATTAAAACCAACTTTCAAGGGTTTATCGTAGGGAACCAGGCCGAGGATGTCGAACGGGTCGTCGTCGTTGATCTCCTCCATCCGTTTCACCAAGTTGAACCAGTACTGAACATTCCCTGTCTTTTTATGAGACTATGAAGGTGGCGGCACCTTGGCCTTGACGCGCATCGGGTTGACTTCGAAGTCGTTGTTGTTGTAGTCGATGATGTTGGCGATGGCGCCGCACATCTGCAGGAGGAACGGCTTCCGGTGGAGGGTGTAGAACTGGCGGCACATGAACTCGACGACGCCGCAGAAGACGCGGTTCGTCTGCCGCTGGCTGTAGCAGCGGAGCAGCGTCGGCATGATCAGGAAGAAGCCCTGAAGGAGAAAATTGGACTCTCTTTCAGCCCATATCTTCAGGCTTATTTGTGTCTGAATGCTCTGAACGTCTTCAACATGATGACGAAGAAGCTCCAGAAACTCAGCTACTTTTTACAACTCAGATAGAAGCAACTTTTCAGGTTTTTATGCACACAAATATACTAAAATTCAAGTTATCCTCCACAAAACTGAACCTGGCTAGCAAAAAGTGTATTGAAATGGATGCTGATGGAAATGTAGGTGGCCGCGCATCGCCTCAAGATCAGCACGTCTTCACAATGCATGATCATGATCCCGTTGATCTAGAAAACACCGTTCGCCTTCTTTTTCTCTGCTTTTCCGTAGAACTCACCACGTTGATGAACAAATGAAGGTCGGCGAACATGAAGGCGTTCTCCATCTTTTCAAACATGTCCGACATCAACTGAAAACGCCAATTTGACTAGGATCGCTAGAAATTATCATAAATCACTGCTGAAAAATCATTGGTAAGAGTAGGATTTATTTACTTTCAAACCGTCAAAAAATGTACTACAGCGATCAATTTTTCAAGATCTACAAGTTCTAAAAACACAATTGATGCATTTCCAAGAAGTTTAGCTTCTTAAGAACAACGTCACAGCTACAAAGCGGTTAATATCAATTTGCGCCAGACCTAAAACGACTTGCGCGTCATGAACTAGCAAAACAAGGTTTGAAGTGACAACAGTAAGATAGCAAAGCGTTGAGCCATTCTAAATGCGACCAGTAGTTTCAAAACCCAAAAAATAAAGTATACGGCAGGGAAAGTACAAAAACTAACTGAAAACTTAGTTAGATATTTATTTTCGATTTTTTAAAGTTGATGACTGGTAAATTCTGACAAAAAACCATCTTTTCAACTTTAATAAAAGCTCAGAAAGCCTTGAAAATCTCAAAATCATTACCTTGGCCCAGGTGAACTTGTGCATGGCCTCCATCGCCTTGAGTTGATCGCCCATCGGGCCATGGTACATTCCGAAACAAGTTTCCAGGCTTTTTCTCGGGAAAGACGGCAGATGGGTCAGCTCATCGTGTAGAAAGAAGACCCGCTGAGTTATCTGGAAACCGTTTTTAGGAATTTTCAAACAGGAAATTGTCTTACCACGTGCTGAGGACTGTACTTAAGGATGTTATGTGTCAGGAGTACTTTTCCAACCTCGATGAACCTGAAATAATTCGTTTCAATTGAAATTTACTGATGTATCGTTATTGAAAAAAAAAATGAGTGATTGAATCACTGTTCAATAAAGGGCATTTGCATCAAATTTCATGATTTTCTTGATTTTCTACATATTTTCAATCTCTGACGATTTTCGGACAAAATCCTTTTTCATATTTAAAACCACAATTGTAAAACTTGAAGATCAAATTCCTATTTTCTCATGTCGTGACAATTTTCTGAAAAAAGCTAAAAAGCCATTTAGTGTAGTCGAAATTCCAAGTTTAGTATTAATAGAGAGATAAAGCTTGATATTTTATTTGCATTTCTGTCTGAAAAAAATTATTCTCGATTTTATTCAAAGTTCCAGGTTACTGTAGCGCAGGCGACCGTGAGCACTGCGTCATTGCGGACAATACATTTTTTTCCACGAGCAAATTTTGTCGATTTACGTACCCGTAAAGTTTTATGAATTTTTCGAACCTTACTTGTTTTTTTGACAATATATATCTGCACTCTACGTCACTTATTGACTCATTTCAAATCAAGAAAAACGTTTTACGACAAAATTGTATTTTTTCGCTTGTTTTCTTTCGTTTTCTACTGAGAAATCTTTCGTCTCTGTTTCAAAATACACTCCAGCAATCCTCCAAACAGCTATTTTTGTTATTTAAACGTGTCAGTTCTATTTTCTCAACAAGAACCTTTGATTAAATGCCGTTTCTCGCATCCTTCGTCCAGCTTGCTCGGGCGAAAGTCGAACCATCGTCAGTTGTGGATAGAAAGATCGATGGAAGAAGTAGTAATCCCTTGAAAAATCAATATTTTTCTTCTCATTATTTATTCAGTTTAAACCGAACATAAGCCGATGGCAGATGGAGATTTCCAGTTTTGGTGTCGGTGAGGTAATAATTTGTCACTTCGTTCTCATCGATATTGAAAAATTCCAAGCTGTCACTGGAAGTGAAAATGTTTTTTTTTTCCGCCTGATTGGATCTATAAAACCTCAAAATCTGTTGAAACTGCGTATCCTCATGGACAGGGAATTGGCTTGGGATCCCTCCGGCACCGGAATCCAACCCGTGGACGATGATCTTCTTGGCCGACGGGACATTGGCGGTGATCATCAGGGCTTGCTAAAAAATCGAGAAATATGTTCTCGAATGAAATTTCCATCATAATATTGAGCTTCAAAGCGACTGTTTTTTTAAAATTAAAAATAATCTCTTTCGGGAATGAAGCTTGAAACATTTCATGATAGTGATGAAAAAATTTATCTTTTTTTCGGATATATAGTGAAGTTACAGATATAAATCCTTTCACAACATTACAGAGCATGCTAAAATGATTAAGACATCTAGAAACTTGATAAAAATGAATAATTTCCTATGAAACTTTTCAAGAACAGTACAAAAAAAAAAAAAAAGCGCGTATAATTTGTTTCCAAGTGATTTTTAAAACTTCTCTACTCAGAAAATCTTTTCGATTTTCATTATATCTAACTCTAGAGACTTTTCTGGGACCTTTTTACACATTCAAATCCATTTTCTAATTTCAATTTTTTTGAAAAAAATTTCAGAAAGTTTGAATTACGTCCAACGTATCCGCTCTTTTATCGGACCTTGTTAACGCGAACCGGAAGTGTCTCAGCATTTCGAAGTGATCACTTTAGCGGTCTCCGTACTCTTAAATGATCCCTAGAGGAACTCCAAAACGTCCGGGGCACTTCCGGTCCGAGTTATGTAGCGTCAGACTCAAGGGTCCTCTCTAGGGCTGTAAATGGCGAATCGGATTCAAGGGTCCCCTCTAGGGCTGCTAATTTGCCACGCGCGGCGAATCAGACCCAAGGGTCTATTCTAGGGCTGCTAATTTGCCACGCGCGACGGATCAGACTCAAGGGTCCTCTCTAGGGCTGTTAATGGCGAATTTGATCCAAGGGTCTCCTCTAGGGCTGCTAATTTGCCACGCGCGACGGATCAGACTCAAGGGTCCCCTCTAGGGCTGCTAATTTGCCACGCGCGACGGATCAAGCTCAAGGTTCCTCTTTAGGGCTGCTAAGTGTTCTAAAGTGACTTTTTCGATTTCACAACGTGGCGTCACTCACATCGCACTGCTCCTTCTTCAGGGTCTGTTTGAGGTCTTTGAAGTAGAGGCCGTGGATGTTGGATGGCAGGAGCCAGCATAGGGACAAGGCCATTCCGATGGCCTTCTCAGAACCTTCACATTGGGCCCGGACGTAGTGCATCACGAATCCAAACTGGAATTGTACGAGTTCAGACTTTTGAAAGGTCTTTTCTAACTGATGAGTTCAGATAGTTTTTTATCATTTTTGGGACTTCGAAGCTTTAAATTCAAAATTATCATCAAAATACATGATTTTTTAATTTCAAAACGATTTTTTTCATTTTCACACACTCATAGGTCAATTAGCAAAAAATCGAGTGAAGAATGTCGAGTGAAGAATCTTTCAAATTTTCTTTTCCTTTCTCAAATTTGGTACCAAAATGACTGGTTTTTCAACCCCAAATCATTTTTTTTTTCTAGCTTCGAACTTTTTCAAGCTTCTCACCAAATAATTCAGTAAAGAATGTGCGGCTTGGCTGGGCAACGGATGGAATCTGAGGACGAGTTTCCGCAATTGGGCCATCAACGCCTCCTGAAACGATTTTCACCCGTAACTCTTCAATTTTTTTCGAATTTTCGAAACTTAAAGAAGCCTAAAAAATGACACTCGCATGCATCTGTCTTCGAGAAAAACGTACGTAAGATGGAGTCGGCGTGAACTCGTTGACGAACGCCTGGAAAGGAAGAAAGGACAGTTCTCACGTGACAAAAAAAGGCATGCAAAAAGATGATTTTGTGCATTTTTATCGAAAAATGAAAGTTCTAATGAACCACAACTGAGAGAAAAGAAAAAAGAAAGTGATGGAAAAAAAGGATTTTTTCGAAGTTCCAAAATTCCTAATGTGAAAAGGAACCTGTCGATCACGATTCGTGAGTTTCTCGAGGAAATGTCGCAAAAACAGAGAAGGATCCTCGACGATACACGTCCAGATCACCTTCTTCGCCACGTCGCCGACTGAAAAAAGGTCAGAAACTGTCAAATTTCTGCTTGAAAACTGCGCATTAATACCGTTCTAGCGCACCCTTTCGCCCACCTGATTTTACAACATTTTTCTTTATTCCTTTACTCTTTTTTTAATCTCTTCTCCAGGTTTGGGTACCTTTGAAAGTTTCGGATTTTCTTCTCTGAATTCTCTTCTTGTAGTATTCTATGAAGTCTTCAAACATCCTGCTGATTCAGAAATTCTTTGAACTTCTTTATAGGTTTCTTTGTCTGACGTTGTAATTTATTCCACAAAATCCTGTTTTAGGAGAATAATAAGCTTTTTCTAACATCTCTAATGAATTGTCTTTGGGGTTTTCAAAACTTCCTCCAATCTTTATTCTTGGAATGATTTTACACTTAATTGGAATGGTATTTTACTATATTATCAAACTATCCTAACTTCAATTTTTGAAAAAAAAAACTTGGAAAGAGGGATCGGCGATTTTAGAAAATGCTGTTGTTCTCAATCCTTCCCGCTTCAAAAAACCCCCGAAATCGTGTTTTCTAGTACCTGAAACTCCGTCGCTGTTGACCTGAGGATCGTCCAAAAGCTCGATGATCGTTGGCACGACAGAGAGCAAAGTCGAGGGGAACAAGGGCTGGGCCACCGGCATCATATGCCTCGTTTGATGGTGTGGCGCCTCGGACTCTGAATCAGATCGAGTTTCAAGAGAAGTAGCAGATCCATCTACCATTCCAAAGCTCAACTAATGAAAAAATTAATCATTTTCTTGAATTACAGATCTAAGGGAGCTCTCTAGGGTTCACACTAATCTGTCAAGGATATTAGAGAGACTGAAATGGAAACTTATTTCAGAAATAACAGAACACTTTTGTCAAGGTTCCCCAGAATCCCCCACCTTCCGACTGCTCCTGCTGATGATGGAAAAGAGCCGGTTCATAGGCGGCAAGTGAGACGACGGCAGAGCCGCGAAGTCTGAAAAAGACCTGTCAATGAAGCTCATACATCGGCTGGATCCGACCCCAGCCTTTTTGTGCGCGAAAAATTTGGAGTAGGCTGCACTTTTTTGGGGGGGGTAGGTCGTTGCAGTTTGACGGGGGGTAGATCGCAGTTTAAGGGGGAGTGGGGTCGCAGTTTGAAGGGGGTGGGATCCAGCCGACGTATAAGGAAAGCTTTCCGGAAAAATACCCAACATAAAAGTTACACTTTGAAGCTATGAGCATTTGAGCTTTAGTGGCCCCTAAAGGGGAGGAAAAGTTGTTCTAGAGGGGGGGGCTTTTCAAGGTTCTCCCTCTAGGGGCCACTCTGGCGTCCCTAAGTGCACTCTTAGAACGGGTATCAATCCATGAATAATACAAAAAATCCATTTCAAACATAAAAATAATCCCATATCAGGACCTGAACAACTGCCGCTGTTCGCACTGTCGTTCTTCGGCTTCCCGAACCGCCCGTTTGACCATCTCCTGCTTCTGTTTCCGTCGGGTTCTCGTCATCGTCATGATCGTCTGTGACTGAAAATTACTTTTCAATTTGCCTAAAAAGATCGTCCCCACCGTCGCATGCTCCTCTTCCTTCAGTGACAACTCTTCGATTTTCGTCTTCATATGAGGCATCCAGGGCGGATCAACAACCGGGAGTTGACTTTGCCCGATTGGGGGTGAGGGTAGGGTGAAGTCGATACCTGGGGGAGGTACCTGTAGCTTATAACTTTCCTTTTGAAGACTTCGTATTGATAACCTTGAACGAAGCCTGGGCGCCTTCTTCCATTTTGAGCCACGCATGGAACCGATTTCTCCATAGAGCGTAGAACCTGGAATTTTTTTTCTCGTTGGGATCAATAATGACTGGAAAAAACTATTGGCTCAGAAGCTCAAGAAAGGTGAAAGGAACTTTTAGTTCGAAAAAAAATTGAAATATTCTCTGATCATCAACTTCTTATCAAAAAACCAGTAGTTTCAATTCCATCAAGAAAAGACGCTAAAACCTCAAATTTTTCAGAGAACTACCACCAAAATCAGCAAGACCTCCTTACACAGACAAAGTCGAAAAATCTATATAGAAATGTCCCTTAAACGGTGACAAAGGTACCTTCTTTGCTGCCTTTTTGTACCCTTTTTTCGACCTTTTTGCTGCCTTTTTGTACCCTTTTGTCGACCTTTTTGAAACTGTAGAAAAAATGAAAGGCTCGATAAAATGACCCTTTTTGCTGCCTTTTTGTACCTTTTCATCGACCTTTATGCACCTTTTTTGTCCCATTTCTTGAGCCCTTGAAAATGTGGAAAAATGAAAGGCCCTATAAAGGGATCCTTTTTGCTGCCATTTTGCGGCTTTTATCGGCCTTTTTGCACCTTTTTTGCACCATTTCTTGAGCCCTTGAAACTCTAGAAAAGGACTCTTTTTGCCCCCCCCAGTTTTTTTCAAACATAGAAAGCACCTCTGAATAGCGTTAGTCCTCTGATTCGGATCCCCAGACTCAAAGTCCTTCTTCATAACGGCCAAGGCGTCCTCTGAACGTCGAACACTCGCCACGATGAACATCGAGGCGGCGCTCAAGACGACGTGGGGCTCTTCATGAAGGAGCAACTTCCAAGACGTCTCGATCATCTGCTTGTACTGGTCGACGTTGAGCAGGAGGCAGCTCTTGAGGACTGCCGAGATGGGGCTGTGGACGAGTTTCAGGACGAGGCCGCGGATGTAGTTGATCATCGGCTTGTTGACGTCGTCCTCCAGGTCGTCGTCCTCGACCTCGTCGCTAGTTCTGTCTTGCTCGATGCTTGTCTTCTTCGCTGCGCTCTCTTCTTTTTCCTTCTCTTTCTCCTTCTCCTTTTCTTGCATCATCTTCTCCATGAGTAGGGCCTAAAAATACACATCAAAAAAAGCTTAAAAATGAGTTTCAGGGCTTAAACTCTAGTTTCAATCACAAAGTTCAGCAATTTTCTGTCTTCATCTAAAAATCCAGTACTTTCCTCACAACTGTTAATCAGATCCTATCTCAAATTTCAGCCTGATCATCTCCTACATCAAATTCAAGCTGTTCCCTCTGAAACATGCCTTGATCGCCTTGCTGGTGTGTTCCGGCTGTCCGACCATGGCGCTCTCTCTTCTCGGCACCGCTGCCGATTGCCTCGAATGAACGCTCTGAAATGCATCCCTCAAACCTTCAAAATTCACCATAAAAGGCTAATAAGTTGACAAGTTGGTAGAGAGGCGGAGAAGCGGGGGTTTTCTAGTGGTGTTAGCGTGCGAATGGAGTATTATTTCCGGTCACGAATTGTGGCTGTAGGTTCCACTAAGGGAAAAATTAGAATGTTAGAATCTCCGGAAACAGAAGCTATTTTCAAGCGGTTAAATGCGCTCTGTTGATAAAATCTTTAAATTCGGATCTTGGTAATGCAAACCGGTCGCCTTCTGGAAGCTTCTAAACATTTCTAGTGAACTCTTAAGAGTACTGAAGCCACTCAGAAAAAGGAAACTTCAAAATTCGTTGAAACAGGCCATTTTTAGAGCTTTAGACCCTTTTTTCTTAAAAACGGGGAAGTTATGGAGCTTGAGACTTTCAGAAAAGAAAAATCAGAATCGTAAAGAAAAAATGACCTTGTCAGGAACGTCTGGTTTGCACTACCAACGTCCGAGAATTATGTTTCAAGATCGAAAAAAAATTTATAATTTATTCATTTTTAGGATCACTGCAGCCACACTCTACTCAAAGATGTCAAAATAGTTGACACACGGAAAAATACGACAGATTATTCTTTCTTCTCACGAATTTCCTTACCAAGATCGACGTTTTTGCTTCAGTCGGCTAAAAAAAAATCTAAAGGAACAAAAAAAAAATTCCCTAAAGGTGTCACTAAAAATGAGGGAAAAATTGCTTTTTATACTCAACCCGGATTGATTCTGTGCGTTGTTGGGCTTTCTCCTGGAAAAGATATATGGGGGCGTCATACAGAAGTAAGAGAAAGTGGTTAAAAAACTAAGAAATTTTCTAGAGCAGAGAGGGGTCGGCGCGCCTGAATTTCAGTATGTCCATTTAGATTTTTGGAAAAAAATAATTAAAGATCGAAAAGAAAAAATAGTGCCCTCAAATTTGAATCTGACCAGACTGAAATTTCAAGCAAAAAATGATTTAACCGGGGGGTTTTTTTTTCGAAAAACCTCGCTATTCCCAGTAAAGTTGCTCCATGGAAAAAAACCGCAATTTTTCGGTTTTTTGAGTCTTTTTTCGTTTGTTTCAAGTTTGAATTATCTCAGTTTTTGCTGAATACAAAGAGGATATTAAAAAAACAGAGGATATTAAAAAAAGTTCCAAGATTTTTTTCTATTTGCAGACTTCCACGTCAGTTTCTGATACCAGATATAAAGTCGAAAAATACGGTTTTTTTCCATTTGTTCAAAAAAATGACTGAAAAGAGGACCTGACGAAAAGAGAGCTTGGCACCTGACGAGGGAGTTTTTTTCGACCCCTGAATTAGACTCGCGGGGGGCTTGAAAAGAAGAGAAGCGAAAAAAATCAAATTTCTCACCCGGACAGAAGACCTCTTAATCGATTTCTAAACAGGTGGTTTTTTTGTTGATTTTGAAAAATGGGTCAAAAAAAGGAAGGGGGGGAGGATAAAAAAAGTCTACCAAAATTCACCCTTAACAACGCCAACAATTCAGATTCCTAAAAAAGTTTGGAAATGTCTGAAAAATCAGGGAAACGTGATAAAAAATGAAAGATACCCGTCGAAGAGCTTTCTGTTCGCTTTGCCACTTGTCGGCCAGCAATTTTCGTTTGTCGACTCGGGTTTCGACGTTCCTGGAATGGTTTTTTCAATACTTTTTTCTTGAAAAACGTTTTCTTCATCAAAAAACCATTGATTAGAAAACAAATTGGGAGTTTCTCGCGACATTTCCTCAAAATCAGCTGCTCCATTTTATGGTATGTAGGAACTTTGAGTCCGCAAATACTCAAATTTTCAAAAATTCGAGCCCCCCACCGTCGGTGTATGCACAATTCACGCTCACGAACATTTGCGGACATGAAATTCCCTTCTTAACATCCTTTATTTCTTTGAAAATTCGTTCATTTTAAGGTTAATTTCCTTCAAAAAGAAGAGGACGAAACTCAGTTTGAATACAGATTATTGCTTTCAAATAAGTTAAAAAATGAAATTATTTTCCTAAAACTTGTTCATTGCAAAACTGTGCTTTCTCGCGGAAATCATCAATTTTTGCAACTTGACACAATCTCCAAAAATGGATAGTTACAGGGAAACTCTTCCAAAAATCAATAAAAAGGACCCTGAAGGAAACCCTGAACGCTTTATTGTTAATTCCCTTCTTTGTGGTTCCAAAAATCCTCAATAAAATCCATTCTACCTTTTGATTCCATACAAGGTAGATAGACATTCGCAAAGACGGAAACACTGTCGATGAACACGATTGAAGCATCTGGGATGGCAGACGCCGTCGTGACGACACTCCAGGTTGAACGAGTTCGTCACGCGGATCAGCACCTGGATTTATGATTACTATTTTTATTTTGGATCGATTTTTGCGCGAAGTCATAACACTGTCATATTCAATTTTGACTTCAGAAACTCATAACTCGGATCAAAATGCTCCGATTCGGACAAAATAAACTGTTCCGAGCAACTGGGCATGCCCACTTTTGTAAAGGGCTACGGTAAGTCTACAAGATACCTTCTCAGACCCAAAAGATCTATTTTTCCTTACTCTCTATCATTTTATTCAACTTGAACTTCTAATGTTTATAACTCGGGTCAAAATGCTCCGAATCGGGTAACATAATATGTACTTGATCAACTACATTCTATATTTTTTTTTCCAAACTCCAAACTAGAACGCCTTTCATTATCAGGAGCTTCTGATAGTCCATTCAGCCAATCAGAAAATTTTCGCGATCGAGCGCATTAACCGGCGTAAATACAGCTGCTTTCTTTTAAGGAAGAAGCTGGGGAATATTCTAGATTAAATCAAGGTTATTTTTCCATATATTTTTTTGAAAAGCTGCTCCTCAACAATCTTGAGCTAGTTTTCAGCTTCTAGATTTGAGATTTTGAGCCAATCTGGACATCAAAAGTTGCTTCTCAACCTTAGGAGCTACAGAGCGGTCCCTATAGGGGCAACCTTAAGGAGCTTTGGAGGGTCCCCTCTAGGGAACACTTCAATAACCCCTATAGAGGCCACTAAAGCTTGCGAAAGTGATCCCTACAGGGGAAATGCTAATCGATAATTTTGATGTACTCTATTTTCATGCGAAAAATTTAATAAATAAGCGTTTTTCAACCCCTTAAGACCCCTATAGGGACCGCCTGAGCTTTAGGGACTAAGGGATCAGATTCTGAACCCCTATAAGGATCACCGTAATTTTACCCCTATAGTGACCACTTTTTCGGCTCCTATAGGGGCTTTTTTCCTCCTAACCCCTATAGAAGCTACTCTGGAACTTCTTAACAATCTAGAGTAAATCTTAACTTCTACTAATTTTCACCTTAATCCATGGCAAATTGGTCAACATGTGTTGTTCTTCATCGTCCATAGTCGGTTTGGCGACGGCCTGTTGCCCATAGCCACTGCCGTGCTGTGAGCTCGGGTAACTCTGAAAAAAATCCGTCAAGTCTTCTCTCAAATGAATAAAACTACGTTATGAACTGGTTCGGTGGGGGATTGAAGCGGCTCTTCCGGTTTCAGAGAATCCCTTCCAGTCGCACTTGGTACCACTGGAAAACCAAAGCTTTTTGGAGAAATTTAAAAGTTTTGGGGGAAAGTTCATGTGAGTTGGGTTTTCAGAGTTAAAGTGCTTTGGTTTGGTTATAATATGGAAAATTTGAGACCAAGAAAGACCTGAAAGAATTTTTAATTTCCTGTCGCAGCATGGTTGAAAAGGAAAAGACTTTACAAAAAAAAATAGGGTTGGATAGACGACATCAAACTATACATATATAATAGGTAAACGTTCTGAAGTGATTAATATACATAATTGAAGAGATTTTGAGGAAAACTGGGAAAATTTCACTTCAGGGACACTGACCAGGAGCATAGGAAGTTTGAAAAAACAAAGTTAGGAACTCTAGAGTGATCCCTAGGGGGCCCTTGGAGGTTCCTCTCTAGGGAGGTGACCACTAAAGCTTGAAAAAGGGGCCCCTCTAGGGTACATGCTTTAGCCGAATCACGGCTGGCTTGAGACGCAAAAAGGCGTGGCCTGTCTGCGCCCTCCATCAACCAGGCACTGTCTCTTTTCTTATCGTGTCAGGACCCATTTTTCGATAGCTCAAGCCAACCGTGAATCAGCTATAGTCGCTCATTGTTATGATGAGAAGAAGCATTTCGAAAAACTCAAGAAAACATCGTCATTTGATGAAAAATATCAACATAGGATGAATCAAGTTTGCTTTTTAGTTATCAAACTTTAACGCAGAGTTTTCAGACCCCTATAGGGACCACTTAAGCTTCAGTGGCTCAAGGATCTGACCCTCTACAGGGACCTCCTAAATCTGACCCCTATAGGGACCACTTCAGCTTCTGTGGCTCAAGGATCAGACCCTCTACAGAGACTTCCTAAATTTTACCCCTATAGGGACCACTTCAGCTTCTGTGGCTCAAGGATCAGACCCCCTACAGAGACTTCCTAAATTTTACCCCTATAGTGGGTACTTTTTTGAACCCTACAGGGTGGATATTCTGCCGTTCCTGAATATGGGGAAAACAGTGCGATTTGGCGAAGGGTTTGCTGTCATTGATGACTGAAACAGGGAGTTGACTAAAGGGAAAGTGAAGAGTACAATGGAGCGACGTTTCTGCGGTCGGAAAAAAAAACCTTCAGGATGGAGAAAAAAGGAAGTAATGTCGGGTATGGCGTGTTGGATAACGGCGAGAAGAGCCGGCGAGCGCATACTTGACGCCCGCCGTAGGGTTGGCGCTTCATTTACAAGTTTTTCAAGCGTTTTATTATTTTCAGGCTTTCAGTAGAGTCGTACAAACTTCTGATGGTTTTCACAAAAAATCTTGAAGCTTTGATCAAAGATTCTGAAGCCCTACATGTTAACCTTCTTTTGAAAATCTGTCTTTTTTGACTTTTAAGGAAATAAAAAAATCCTCACTTGTGTCAGACTTTTCCTCGTCGTCCGGATGCGGCATTTTCGATTGTTTTCGGGTTCTGAAAAGTCGAAACTGAGTATGAAATTCGGATTTTGAACTTAGAATCATGCCTAAAAACGGAGAAACTTCTAGTGGCCACTGAAGTGGTTGCTCAAGGACTTCTTGGAGAGGGCACTAAAGTGGTCACTAGGACAACCTCTGTAGAAGTTCTTACTTTGCGTCTTAGTGGCCACTATAGTAGTTTTAGTGGTCTAGTAACACGACTCACATTTTTAAAGAGGCCACTAGTTTTTATCCTCTTAAGTGGTCACTATTTCGATCACTATAATAGCCACTAAAACGTCAAAACCCTCAAGGCTACTGAGGATTTTCTAGTTTTCGTCTAGTGGCCACTATAGCAGTTTTAGTAGTCTAGTAGTACCACTCAAACTTCTAAAGAGGCCAGTAATTTTTAGCCACTCAAGTGGTCACTATTTCGATTACTATAGTGGCCACTGAGATGCCAAATCACTAAAGTGGCCACTAAGAATATTCTTAGATCGTGCCCATAACGATGAATCCATGAAAATGACCGTATTTTCCAAAAATCCTCCGCATTTTCGTGCCTCTCAAGACTCCTAACAGCATTCCGGACCAGGACCAAAACTGCTCCACACACCTGGAGGAACTACGAAACGCTATAGTGGCCTCTTAAAAAGGTTCCTCAAGGACTACTTGGAAAGGAGACTAAAGTGGTCCCTCAATCCCCTCAGTAGAAGCACTACTTTTTTTTCTCAGTGGTTTAGTAGCACCAATTAGACTTCTAAAGAGGCCACTAATATTCAGTCTCTTAAGTGGTCACTATTTCGACTGATAACGTCAAAACCCTAAAATGGCCACTTCACTGTTTGTGCTTCGTCTAGGGCATTCCGGACCAGGACCAAAACTGCTCTACACACCTAAACGACCTCCTCTTGTGGCTCGATTCCAGAGAAGGCTGCTGTCCGATGGGCGATCCTCGTTTCAGGAGACGTTGACGACCCGTCGCGATTCTTCGACCTGCAAAAAATGTCATTTTCCAAAGAACGACAGTCTTGGTAGGAGTACATTGATAACGTGTACGAGTTCATTCCTTGCAATTTTTCAAAAATTTTCATTCCGTGTGTAACGTGTCTGTGTACGTGTTTCTGTGCAGAAAAAGCTCGAATTGAATATTTTTCATGGTACAAATCACTTCTGAATAAAGTTTTATGGATTTCGATATAGTTTTTCTCTAATTTCAGCTAATTTCAGGTTCATTTTGTCTTCAAAAAGTTCTACTTCTCTTTTCTAAAGACATGTTTAACTTTTCCGATGTGACGCTAGTCTTTGTAACTCCCAAATATGTTCATTTAGAGTAACTTTGATGGCTCTGAAGCCAAAATTCGGTTATTTTCAAATCTAACTGCTTCTAAACTTCTTGAAGATGTTCTAAAGACCTCAACCAGTCCAAAAATCACAATTTTATCAAAAGTTAGTTTGAAACCAGTTAAATCAGTCTATCCTAGCCCAATCTCAAGCCAACTTCCGTTAGTCTGACGATTCAAAAAGGGTCTAAAAGCTTTTAAAAAATTTCCTAGCCCTTCAAGTCTAATCATCTTCTTTTTGCTATTCAAATAAGCTGATAAAACATTCGTCGGAATTTTACCATTCATCTGCAGTTTTCTAGATTAATCTGAATCTAAGCCAAAACCATTCAAAAACATGTGATCTTCAACTACTCCTATCCCTCTTGGGTAAAGATTGAAAGCTAGCTGAACATTTTTCTTCATTTTTCTTGGTCTGAAGTTCAAACCAAATGTCGCACTCAAGCTCAACGAGAAAAAAAATGATAGATCTCCGAGGCACAACAAGCACAGTCCAATCGAAACAGTGTCGCGTCAGGCAAGATAAAGCGGAAGGTAGAAGAAGAAGAAGCAGAAGTAGAAGAAGAGAAGAAGGAGATGCAGTGCTGATCGTGCATCATCCTCACGTGTGGCGAGACCTGTCTCCGGGACGTAGGTCGTCGATTTCGTCGATCCGTGGGCCGAAGACGCGCAGCTGTCGTCGTGCGTCGACTGCCTCGAGAACAGTCGGGTGCTCAGCGACGGCGGCCTCACCGACGACGACGAAGACGTCGGCGCTGGTGGAGGTGGCGGTGGCGCCGCTGCTCAAACACCCCCGTCTGCTCTTTTTGTTCAGAATGGGGTACCAAAGAGCTAGTTTATTCCAATAATTTCAAATACTGTAACTGCTATCCTAGTCCTAACTTTCTAAGAAGGTTCTCTGAAAAATTGATTTTTCATCGGTCCGCTAGTTTCCTGTCACTCAATACCGCTTCAAAAAAGTTTTTCAACTACAATTTTTAGAGAAAGTGTCACCTGAACGCTCAGTCTCCTACTCCAAAGCTTTGACTTCAAATCTCTAGTTTTTCGAATCCTTATTGGACTTCAGAGGGACTGAAATGTTTCAAGAACTCCAATTCTGTTGCGGCTAAGCTTCTCTGAAAACTTTTTCAAGCCCTAAAACACACTAAACTTCTTAAAAAAGTTTGCGATTGGCTAGTTTCAACCTCTGTTTTCTTAGGAACTCCAGGGTGTCCCTATAGGGTGACCTTAAGAGCACTCAAGGAACCACTTTACTAACCCCTATATGGGCCGCGAGACAGCTTTCAAAAGTGGTCCCTATGGGGGTTTCAGTTAGGGGCACCTATAGGGCACGTAGTAGTCGAATATTGTTATGAACTCTATGAGAAGAAGCATTTCCATTCAAAAAAAAAAATCAATAAATTAACGTTTTTTAAATGAAAGTGTCAACATAAGCTTCATCAATCGAGTATTTTTTTTTTCATTTTTCAAATCTGAACAAAAATTAAGAGGTTCCTATAGGGAGTACTCAAGTTTTAGAAGCTTAGGGGTCAGATCCTAAACCCCCAATGAGTCCACCTGGATTTTACCCAAATATGGTCACATTTGTCCCCTCTAGGGCTCTTTTCTCCCCTAATCCCTATAGGGACCACTCTGGCGTTCCTAATTTTGTCCAATCATTGAAAAATTTCGCTAGAGCGCACTTTCTTGACCAATTTAGGCTCTTTTACACAACTTTCTCAGAAAAACTGTGATTTTGATGAGAAAATACTTTGTAGCCCTACTAAAACTTGAAATTTATAGATTTCAGTATCCAACTTTTCGTAAAATTTAAGAATCACCAAAAAATATACAGCATAACTGAAGAAAAGCCTATTCGATTTTTCTAAAAAGCTTCAGCAAAACTCAAAAAAGCAACATAATGGGGGAGGCGAACGCAGAGAATGGACATAGAGCCGAGAAAATGATACCTTTTTTGTCCAAGGTGACTTCGTCGATGGCGTCTTTCGAGCCTCTGGGCGAGTCTTCTTCGGCCGCCGACAAGCTTATCCGCCGTTCTCGGTCATTCACTGAGAAAAATGCCCATCTTTTCAAAAAATGGCGCGAAAAGCTTACAATGAATGGAATTATTCATGTCAGTGATACTATTGACGGATCCCGTTTGTTGGGCGTTGAAAGTGTTGGAGAGGATCGACCAACGTCGGTGGCTTAGTAGTTTGTCCCAGCCCGAATTTCCGGTTGTCGGCTGAGATAATTGCTATTTTTTTCAAGGATAAGAAATTTTGACATAGTTGAGTTGAAAATTGAGTAATCTTCCTTTCCCTTATAGTCAATCCTACATTGCAAGAGGGACCCAATTTTTAAAAAATCAATTTTTTTCCTTTCCTTCTACCCCTACCTTGGCCGTCTTGGACCTGGGGATCGTTTTGAAGGTCTCCCTGAGGAAGGCCGTGATTTCCTGCAAAAGAAGCACGGCAATGAGCTGGAGGGCCGGCGGACATCTTTCGCCGGTCGAGTCATTGGCGAGGCCTAAGATGGGATATAAATCATGCTCCATGGAGAAGAGCCACCATCATCGAAGAAGTCCTCCATGACGTCCTCCATCTTGACGAACTTCCTGTCGAGGATCGCGTCGACGTCGAGTTTCTTGGCCAATTGCTCTCCGAGCTGGACAGCCCAGTGATAGAAGTAGCGGCCAGCAAGTCTTTGGAGGGAGTGCATACGTCTTGTTGCCGACGGGGTGCCTTGAATCGAAAAATTCAAGCTGGAAGAGTGGTTTTAAAATATTTAATAGACGAAAAGGGGCCCTACTAATATTCCAAAAAAAGCTTCCAAAGCCTTTTATCAAGCCAAACTGGGAATATTTTTAGTGGCCACTATAGGGTTTTGACGTTTTAGTGGCCACTTAAGGGGTTAGAAATTAGTGACCACTATAGAGGTCTAAGTGCTACTACTAGACCACTAAAAATTTTAGTGGCCACTTTAGGGGTCAATGGATCAACATAACTGGTCTAACCTGTTTGTTTTGAAATTTTCAGAGTTACTGGAAGGAATAATGGATGAAAAACTACTGAAGTGGCCACTAAAACGGAAAATAGTGACCACTATAGAGGTTGGTTTAGTGTTCTCTCCAAGTAGTCTTCGGCGAGCCTCTATAGTGGCTTCCCAGAAACTTTAAAAATATTCAAGCTTCCCGTCTAGATCAATTTTTCCTATTTTGAGTTATCCCCAAGAACCTCGATTGGCCAGCGGGCCTCCCAAGCTGAAGGTCCGATGATGGGACGAGCGGATCCACTCGGGCCATTGTCCTCGGTTGCATCTCGACACAAAATTGGCGCATTCCAGCAAAAGGGCCGCTCGGGCCAGAACCGGCGATTTCTGAACATATCGAAATATTTACTCTGAAAGTTTTAATGGCACCAGGAATAGACCAATCAGCGAGGTAATATTCGTACCAATAATTTTCGATTCTATCTCTCCCCTTGATCTTTTTATGTGCTTTCTTTCGAACCATGAACTTTTTTTCTTGTTTTAACTCTCCGACTCCCAAAAATCCATTATCTCTACCAACGAAAGACAGAAAAGCTGTATCATTTTTAAAATTAACCTTTTTTTGAATACTTATTGGTCCTTAAGCTCTTTCTTCAATTTGTCTTCTTTTCCCTTCAACTTTTACTTACTGAACCATTAGCTTTTTTCCCCGTTTCCTTCACTCAATAAAATAAAATTTAAAAAAGCTGTATCATTCTTTCCATTGACTCATTTTCAACACTTATAAAATTATCCCTTCTTTAGACAGTTTTAAAGGCTTCTTTTCGGTCCTTTCTTCCGTTTTCCTCTTCTTCCTCAATTTTCAACTCCCTAAACCTCTAATTTTCTCGATTCCCTCTACTAACCAAGTGCAGAAGAGCTGCAATGAGCGGTGGATCTGGAAAAGTTCCCGGCCTTGCCGTTTCCAGCAGAAATGCGAACCTAAATGTAACATTTTCAACTAATAATTCATTTCATTTCAACCTCCTAGCCCCTTCAAAAATCCCCTTGATATCCAGGTAGACGGGCGGAGGTACGTAGACGTTCCACACCCGGATTCCGCCTCGAGCTGAAAATTACTTCTACTTTCCTGTCAGTAAAAAATGTATTACAATCGACAGGCATTCGAAGCTTCTTGGACGATTCTCTCTGTGGCTTTCGAGTACAGAAGTCGTCCTGAAAACTCGAAAATGAGCTGACAATTTTGGATTTTTCCTAAAACCCCATCTTCGCCATTTTCCGAGTCGGATCCTTCTTCATCCATGTTATCCGGCCGGACTGTTTTCAGTAGGTTGAACGCTGGAATGAAGGTAGAAATGAATTTTGCAGTACAAATTAGCAAAATTCGGGTTTAGAAGATCAAAATGAGGTGAAAAAAAATATTGGCCTTTTTCACCTTTTGATCAATCAGTCTAAAAACCCCTAAATCGACTTTTTTAACCAATTTCGATTGTTTTTCAATAAAAAAGAGCCAAACAAAGAATCAATAATTCAAAATTATGTGTTGAAATAACTAAATACAGCCATTTTTAATCAAAACTATCAAAGAAAAAGACTGAAAATTGATATTTTCCCCTACTTAGCCCATAAAAAGGAGACCATAAATCGTCTTTCTGTGATAATTTTCAAGTAAAAAGCAAAAATCCTGCGAAAAAAAATTCATGAAAATCCTCAAGATATTAAAAGGAGCTGAAGATTACACAAAACTTTAGCTTCGAAAAAAAATTTTTTTTTTCAGTTTGATCCACTAGGTTCCTCCTTATTCTACTTGTGACTCCCAATTTTCCCGAATCCTTCTGAATTTCAAACAAGATTTCTGAATTCCGTATGTCACCTTCATGCTTTGTCACTTTTTTCTAAGCTCTCAAGTTTCTAAATCAATACACGGCATTCCTAATGGAGGGCGTCAAAATTTTTGAATTCACAAAAAAAAGAAAGTGCGCGCTACGGATAAAATTACGTCATTCTACGTCATAATTTACACTGAGTATTCAACGTTAATAACTTTTTTTTCTGCTCAAAAATTCTGAATTTACGAAAAAAAGAAAGTGCGCGCTACGGATAATATTACGTCATTCTACGTCACAAATTACACTGAGTATTCAACGTTAATAGCTTGTCAATATCAAAATTTCTATCATTTCCAATCATAACTCTCACCAAAATGCAACTTGGGCGCACTTTTCTTCTTATGAGCTCCGGAAGAAGCGAGCGGCGACGTGTTATCGTCCATGGAAGATATGGTTCGAGGCGTAGAAGGTGAAGAATCGCCTTCGGAATCTTCATTTCCGGTCCCTCCGCTCTAGAGGTTCAAAAATAAGCGTTTTAATTCAGTATTTCATTCGAACATGGAAGTTATATTCTGTTCAGATTCTGAGTTTGAAGTAAAATGACGCTATGTGGCTGACTCCCTCTCTTATTGGTTTCCCGCGCAATTAGGGGCGGAGCTTAACACTATAACTTGTCTATTAATTTTTTCGTGAAATGACACTCAATATCAAGTCGCCCTTTCTTACAATTGAATGATAAAATGACCAAAAAACATGAATTATCCTTTTCATTTTCAAAGAGCTTTTAAAGGCCCATTGGGTTTGAGAAAAGTTTGAAATTTTGTAGAGCTCTTTATAGCGCGTTTCTAACGGTGTACTCGGAAACGTACAGGAATTCCTAGTTTTGAAGAGAAAATAATTCAAAGTCGAGAGAGGAAAGTTTTAATTCCCGCCGAAACGGTGCAGTAAAGCTGCTCTATGGACAATTTGCAGTTAAGTTGCTCTATGGACAATTCGCCATTTTTCTCGGACATTGGTAATGTGAAAGGGACGTGCTCCGGACCAGGCTTGCGCTAGGGCCGGCCCGTCAATCTCTCGGCCCCCGGCCAATTCCCAAGCGCGGCCCGGCCCAAAAATCTCAAATTCTCTTCAATTCGAATTTTTCGCTTTTTTAACGAGAAAAGTGGTATTTCTGCTTATTTTTTTTTATAGAGTTATTAGAAACTATGATTCAACAAGTAAAAATAATTTTTCCGTAAAATTTTTTCAAAATGAAATTTAACATTTCTTTCGAAGCCCGGCCTAGCCAGAGCACACGCAGGCTTTTTTTTTTATAGTTATAGGCCCAAAGCCCGAGCCGCCCGGCCTGAGGCACAAGCCTGGAGTCCCCGCCAAAATGGCGCAGTAAAGTTGCTCTATGGACAATTCGCCATTTTTCTCGGACATTGGTATCGCGAAACGGACGTGCTCCGAACGTTTCTGTTCGATTCTAGGGATCCCTTAAGAGTGCTGAGGCTACTAAAGTGGTCACTAGAAATGCCCTGACACGTCTGATTCGCGTTACCAAGGTCCGAGTTCGGATTTTCGTTTTTTACTGCCTTCAAAGAGGACTCCAAGCATTTTCTAATCACCTTCTCCTTCTTCTTGAAAAGACCTCTGCGCAGGGAGGCGGCCTGTTCGCCGCGTCCCATCGGCGCCGAAAGGCCCACCGGACTGCTTTTCCCGCTGCTCTCGTCCTTTTTCGTATCGCTGCAATTATTCAACTATACTCGAAAAAAATCCCAAAAAAATCAACACACAAAAAATGATAATGAAAACCCAAAAAAATTCTTGAGATCAATCAAATCAAATCATGCAGGAGGCGGAACTTGAAAAAAACTTATATTTTATTAAACTTCGAGAAATTTTGCTCATTATTTTACATTCTCACATTTTTCTTGTTGAAATCAAAGCACAAAATCGAATTTTTTCGTCCAATCATGCATTTTTTAGCCTAAACTCCAAAAAAAAATCGTTTTCAATCAGATTTCTAGATAAAAACCAGTCGAAATTCTGTTTTTTTTTCGGAAGCTGAAACTAAAATGTTTCTCTCCCATCAATCTAGACTCCTAATTTCTATATTTCAACCAAAATCAAACGCTCAAAAAGCATGCAAAAAATCGGCATAAAAATCAAATTTGAAGCCAAAAAAGTTGAACACTCATAGGGGTAAGTGAAAATACGGGATGGAAAATCGTATAAAAATGGGAAAAAAGCTACTCGAGGAGAAGAATCTCCGGGACAGCGAGGCGTGTCGTCTGTGGAGTACGCCGACGACTGTAAAAATCGCTGCGAAAAGTTCCAACTTTCCTTTTCAAAATGTTGATTCCATAAAAGGGAAAAAAAAATTCTTATGAGCTATGGTTATCATTATGGAAAGGGGGGAAAGCAGAAGGGACATTCGGATTTTTACATTTTTGTATGACGCGTTGCGGCTGCGAAGCGGTCCGATTGAAAATAGTTAAATTGAATATATTTTCGACCGCAACGAGAAAAAGACGTTTCCAATGTTCAAATTGATAGAACAAATAATAAATCAAGAAAAAATTCAAGCTATATACCATTCCGAACTCCGAAATGCGCTTAAACTTCAATATTGGATCAAAAAAACCCTATAATTTCGTTCCAAATCCAGATATAAACATTGAAAAAAAAAAAATGGAAAATTGGGACCTTAGAGATATATTTTTCCCGCCCTCTTTTTTCTGAAATCAATAATCCAGACAAGAAAAAAAAAATCGATAGAATAACGTTCTGTGCATGTGCATACGTCCAACTACACTACTGTGCTGCTGGAAAAAATGGCTAGAAAAATTGCAGGAAAATCTGATGAGACCTGGAGACGGCCGGATTTTTGTTGATGGCGTCGATGAGGGCGCTGAGACCGACTCGTCGAAATGGATTTCCGTGCTGTTCTTGGACAAAATTTACCATCATTCGAACGTCTTGCAGGAGGCTCTGCAAAGGAATTTTCAGGTCATTTTAATCAATTTTATGCCTTATTTTTGGTTGAAAATTGGAAAAACAACTTATGCCTGATCTCGTGAGTATAGAGGGTTTCTAAAGGTGATTTTTGTTATATGAAAGTCTTATTTTCGACTTGGAAAAAATGTACGCTTTTTGGAAGGGGCCGGTCCTTTTTCTTGAGAAGTTTGTGACCTATTTTTGGTTGAAAAAAGATTTCAAGGGGGAAAAACACCGCGTATGCCTAATCTAGTTTGTATAAAGTGTTTTCTAAAGGTGATTTTTGTTATATAAAAGTCTAATTTTCGAATTGGAAAAAATGTACGCTTTTTGGAAGGGGCCGGCCTTTTTTCTTGGGAAGTTTGTGACCTATTTTTGGTTGAAAGAAGATTTCAAGGGGGAAAAACACCGCGTATGCCTAATCTAGTTTGTATAAAGTGTTTTCTAAAGGTGATTTTTGTTGTAGAAAAGTCTGATTTTCGACTTGGAAAAAATGTACGCTTTTTGGAAGGGGCCGGCCCTTTTTCTTGGGAAGTTTGTGACCTATTTTTGGTTGAAAGAAGATTTCAAGGGGGAAAAACACCTTATGCCTGATCTCGTGAGTATAGAGGGTTTCTGAAGGCGATTTTTGTTGTAGAAAAGTCTGATTTTCGACTTGGAGAAAAAAATCTCAGTTTTCCCCAGGCCGGCCTTTCTTGTTTGGCACTTCGCCAAGGCAGAAGATCGAGTTTTGAGAAACGCGGGGGTAGGCTGACGGGCCGGCCCTCGGACTACCCTTAAGCGAGCCAATTCCCTTTATTCGTTACTCTAGTGCATTTCTTTTCGTGTATTTACTCTAACCTACCTATCTTCATACTATATGCAGGGGATAAACCTCTTACCTTTACTATTACCGTTAAAACAACATTCTCTGTATTTTCGCTCAAAAAAACTGCAAAAAGTCATTTTCGATGAATCTAGGACCTCTTTAAAACAACTTTCTTTTCCCTCTACAAAATTACAAAAGAGACGAAAAAAAAACAACGGTCTTAAAGCGGAGTGGAGTCAAATATAGTGAACGGTTTTCCTGGCAGAGAAAAAAGTGAGAAGCTGGCAGGGGAAAAAGCTATATTAAAAAGTCATTCTTGGATGAAAAGCCTTCCAAAAACGCTAGAAAGGGTTTTCGTACAACTTATAACACCTCATTTGCAATACTTTTCTAGCGATTTCCCCCCCTCACCATGTTCTCCGGAAGCATCAGATCTGAACTGATAGCCGCCAGCTTCGTTATCAGCGTTTTGCAAGTCGCATTGATGATTCGTCCTTCGATTCCCTTCTCCTTCTCGTTGAACTTGTTGCGGTAGGACGGTAGACGGCTTTCAGAATGTCGACGGCCGTCGGCTTCTAAAAATTGATTGTGATGTCGTTGGTTCAAAAAATAATATCAATGAACCACCGGAAGTTTTCGCAAATCATATAATTCAAATTAAATAAACCTAGTTTATATTTTCCGCCTATTTCGGGCCAGTTTGTCGTGATTTTTTTATTTCCACAAGCTACAGAAACCTCTCGGGAAGTTTCCTTTCAAAACGCGTGACCTAAAACTGTACATGCGCCTTTAATTAGGCCTGATAACTACCGTTATAAAGCGCATGTACAGAGGATGACCTACGAAAAAAATGTGTCTGTAGCTTGGAGGAATGAAAAATTATGACAAGCTGGCCCGGGATGGACTATAAATTTCTCAATTCAGTCGAACTTTCATATTTTATGATATTTCGCTTTTTCTTTTCCATGCACTGATATAATTTATAAGCTAAAAGCTTTTTTTATCAACTTATATTAAGTAAAAATCAACTCAGATTTCAAAGGAAACAGTCGGGTTTTTTTCAAAAAAATTTGTAACTTTCCCGAGCTATAATTATGAAAAAAGGGTACACAAATCAACGTTTCGAAGTCGAAAAATACATTCTTTCAGAGGATATTGATTTAATTCAAAAATATACAACGCTTCTTTCCCCACTAACAACGCCAAAAAACCCATCTCCCCTATAAAACAATAAAAAACGGACGGTTGAACTCGGTTCTACAGAAAGCGGTGATGGAATGGAGCAAGTCGAGTACTCGTTGGGGCCCGTAGTTTTCCACGTATTCGTTCAGAATCTGCTTGAATTTATCCTGAATATAATCAAAATTATCAATGACATCCTCCTTTCAAGAACCTGTTGGACTTTTTCCAAATGCGCCAGGATCGATTTAGCCTTGGCTCTCAGGAAATCGCCGTGTTGGCTTTTGACGCCCTCGTTACACCCGTGGGGACAGCCCAAACACAAGTAAATTCTGGAAAACGAGATTGAAATCATTGAAACCAGTAAAAATTCTTTTCCATTCTTCCAGAAGCTCTACTCTCTCATCAGATTTTATATTTGAAGTTTTTGATTCTGAAAAAAAATCTTAATAAATTTATACTCATCTAAAAGTGAGAAAAAAATGTAATTTTATCCTCCCAGAAGCTCTCAATAAGTCCAAAACTCGTCAAAAATTTTGAAAAGGCTTAAAAAAGTACTTTCATCCTCCATGAAGCTCCCCTGTCTCATTAGAAGTTTTATTCGAAGCTTTTGTTTATAAAATCAAGCCAAAAAATATATACTCATTTGAAAAATGGCGCATGAACGTTGAAAAATTTGACCATGAACTATTTAAAAAAATTTATTTTTTTAAAAATATAAAAATCAAGCCCAAAAAAATGATACCCCTCCAAAAAATGGCTCAAACGAGACAATAACGTGGAAAAATTTGAACCATGGAACTATAAAAAAATTATTTTTTTAATTATGAAATCAAGCCAAAAAAACTTTCACTTATCCAAAAAAATGACTCAAATGAGGCCCTAACGTTGAAAAATTTGAACCATGGAACTGTGAAAAAAATTCATTTTTTTAGCCTTTATGAATATAATCGAAAAACAAAAATTAGTGATTTTTTTCTACATCTTTTTCCAAAAAAACTACTTGTAAACAAAACGATTTGACCCTTTAAATTTCCCTTTTCCTTCCAAAACTCATTCATATAGCTTCAAGAGCCTTAAAAGTCACTATAGCCAGAATTCCGCCCCGAGACCTTTCTAAAAACTCCCCCTATGATCCTTTAAACTATCCTTCAGCTTTAAACCATCCTGTTTCTTTTTAACCCACTTGAAAACCATGACAGTTAGTTGCAAGAAGAAAGTCTCCGTCTGTTCCAACGGCGTCCGGAGCAACGTATCGGAAATATTCAGAGCCAGTTCGCACTGCCTGATTCCCGTACAGCGGTCCATCACCTACAACCCAGCCGTTTCCCCTCAAAATCGCGCCCCTCACCTGATTGACAGTCTGAACGATGACCGTGGCGCTCATGTGACCGTTCTTTTCGATGAAATTCGTGCTCCCGAGAGCTTCCGGATAGTAGACGGCGTTGATTTTGGTGTTCTCCCGTTCGACGGACTTCGAGGAGACGTTGGAAACGAGATCGTCGGTGTCTTCTCGGATCGACAGCACCTCCACCGAGTTGTTCAGCGACGGATTGCTTCTGGAATCGGGGAAAATTTTTTTCAGGCTCGAAAAGGGGGATTTCATTGACTTGGATGACCAAGCAGTATATTAGGAAGTACAGACATTTCAGCAGACCATTTTAAAAAGGATCTTAGAAACTCATCGACACATCTTTTTTCCAACTGGACTCACTGAAACTTTTTTCAGCAAGATTTGCCAATCGAGGCTCACTGAAGCATTTTTCGAACTTCATCAACCTCCAACATGAAGGAACAGCTGACCTGGGGAACGCCTCATCACAAAATGAACTTGATTATCTACGAGTCATTCTTGATCAACGACAGTTTCGCCAACCGACAAACAACTCTTCAATTTACCCTGATTCAGCGGAGAATCTTCTCTGACAAGACTGAATAAATGTGCAAGATGTGTAATTTGTGAACTTTGGAGCTCTTTTGAGTGATATAACTTTCTTCGTATCACGCATTTTTCGATGAAAGTTACATTTTTTGGATCCAATTTAAAAAAAACTCTGAACAAGAAACTACTTTAAAAAAGACAAGAATAAAGTATTTTTCATTTTTCAAAAAAACCTTTTGGACCGGTCCGACTAGTGTTCTGAAAAATGATCAAATCCCGTTGACTTTTTAAGATTACCAAGTCAAAGTTATATTTTTGATGGGCTACGGAAACTGAACCAGAAAAGTTTTCATCAAATTCATAAAACAAATATGTTAACGTTGGTATTCAGCAGGAGGTTGGAAGGTGAATGGAAGCCAGAATATCTTCAGAAGGTTAAAAAGTGAAAATTCCTGACAGAACTCTTTCAGCTGGCTTCCGGAAGCTGAGTAGAAAGTGATGGGAAGCTATTTATAAGGTGTTTGACCACTTGCTGGGAAGGAAAAGCTTCTAAACGCCTTCTGAGGAGCCGACAGCAGAAGAGTTCTCATTTTTAACGTGAGAATAAGTTCACGAAAAAAAAGCCTTATCTACGACTTTTTCTCTTCAAAAATTAAACACAAAAGAAGATTCCAATCAGCCCCCCATCTAAACAACTCTTACCGATTCCTCTCCCTTCGGCTCATGATATTGAGACTGGCGCGTCGAGAAGGCGTCGCCGCGGCGACGACCCTCGTCGACAGGACGTCCGCCGCCGAAGACTTCCTTCGGGTGTCGTTGAAGGCGACGTGGAGATGTGATCGGTTCGGGTCCTCGTTCTCCGACGTTTTCGACTCGGGGCTCACTTTCAGGTCGTCCCACGTTGGATTCGGGTACTGCTCCAGTTGGATCTAAGCTTCGTTCAGTTTATCTCAATCTCGTTGGGGGAACGAACCGCGACGGACGGCCGTCGTTCTCCGCTGGGCAATGAGTTGCTCCGTTGCCTTGGGCCGAGTCGAAGGGCCACGAAAACCTGAAAAAACGTCCAGTTCTCTCTCAGGGCCTGATAAGGGAGGTGATTGTGTGTTTTCTTGCATTCTGGGTGATCCTGGGAAGAAAATAAGTCTTGGAGCCTCGAAATAACTCGTTTAACCTGTTTTCAATGATTTTTTTCAATTTAATAACCTTCCTTGTAAGACAAATAGGACCATAAAAAGTTCAAGCTTGGGATGAAAAATGATAAAAATGGCAGATTTAAGAACAAGCTTGCGAAAAACTGAAGAAGGAACCGAAAATTCAGAAAGAGTGATAAAAAATGAAAAAGAATTTTTTTTAACCATACATAGGATGTTTTTTTTTCATTAGATCGATCTAGCGTCGTCCAGCACCCTGAAAAACTCCCCCCTCATTTTATTGCCAATTCCACCCCCTTTTTTCAGGTCCCACCAAGACTATCCCATGTATGTTTTTAACTAAAACGTTTCAATGTATTTTAATGATTTTCTTATACTTTTAGGTGTCTTTTCTAGGAAAATCATAGGATCAACTGCCTTCCTTCCAAATAAAAAGGTACCTGAATATCTTCCAATCGATTCAGCAAATACTTCAAAGCCCAATAAACGCCCTGTTCGTGCCAATGAGTGATGAGAAGGGCCCGAATCACGGCGACGTCCAAATATGACGCCACCTTAACTCCTTTTTCAAAATTGTTCCTTTTATTTCAGGAAAACCCTAGGATCGGTGAACTGGAACTCGTCGAGCTCGTCGTCCGTACTGCCCGTTTCGCTTTTCTGTCTGACCGGTGCTGGAAACTTCTCATATTTCTCGTTAATTGCTCATGTTAAAACCACGTCTTCTGGGCTCTAAATTTGTGGGCGTGGTCGTGGAGGTTTTCTTGGGGCTTGACGGAGTTGGGAAGTGAAGAGGAATTATTGTTTGTTGGCTACATGAAGATGCCGTTTCTTCAGTAGTGGAGGCTGAATTTTGGCGATTGTTTTTTTGAGGAAATAAGCTCCAATGACAGGAAAAAATGGGATTGAGGTAATAGAAATGCGGCTAAATGAAATATGCCAAAATCGTTCCCAAAAGTTTAAAAAAGACCCTTTTTCGCTTCAAAACTATAAAATCCCGGCTACATGAAGAGGCCGTTTCTTCAGTAGTGGAGGCTGAATTTTGGCGGTTTTTTTGAGGAAATGAGCTCCAATGACAAACGAATGGCGTAATAGAAAGTCTTCTACAAGAAGGTGCCAAAATTGCTTCCAGAAACTCAAAAAAATGCCCCGAAAGACCATTTTTCGCTTCAAAACTGTATTTTTCTTGGTCCCCGCCACAGAACTTTGTCTGTGAGGAAACAATTTCAACATTTCCAAACCGGAATCAATATTTTCAAAACCCAATCAGACTCACCACGAGTCAAAATGAACGGCGGGGCTTCCATGGCCAAGCCAACTTTGTCACATCCGCAAATCGAGCCGTTTCTCCGCGCTTTCCCGCATTTTTCACACTTCTAAAAGCTTCTTCAGTACATTTTGACAGTTATCAAGGAAACTTCGGTTTCCGGCGGCTCAACCGAAATTCCACTGCAAATATCCGACAGATTGACCAATGGAGCCGTGTCAGCGGCGTAGAAACAGCCCGAGAATGAGCCGTTTTCATGTTCGGCGAATTTCATGTCCTCCACCTCGTCCATCACCTTTATCGACGATTCGGAAGCTTGAAAAGGAGGCTTTTGAGGAGGAAGGAATTCATAATCCATTTCTTAGCTTGTTAGTATCACAAACCCCCCCCCCCTTTTTCAGTACAATTTCGAATTTTTTTCGCGCGCAAAAGGCTAAGGTGGGATCCAGCCAATGTCTACTTGATAAGTCGATAGAAGACACTTATATTCGACTCAAAAAATCATAAGTCATCCAAAAATTAAATTCAAAGTAAGCTTATTCATTTACGGTTAGTTACTACATCAATAGACAAAAATTAATTTTTGAGCTCGAAAAAGGCTTTTTTTTTAGCTTCCAAGCACAACAATCTTGAAAAATCAGGAGCTACAAAAAACGCAAAAAATCTTTTATAAAGGATGCGAAACCCACTCGGACTGATATCAAAGGCGTCGGAAGTGTGGCTCTTGGAAATTTGGGGCGGAGGCGGATCGACCTGAATCGCCCTGTACTCGCTGACGCTGCGGACCATCGACGACGCCTTGTCCACGGCCAATGATGTCGGCGGTTTTGAAGGCGTCGGGTGTGACGTCATCGTTGTCGGCTTCGTCGGTGGTGGTGGGGCGTTAGAAGTTCTGGAACATTTTACTAGAAAGTCTGAGAAGAACTCAAGTGGCCCCTTAAAAGGTTCCTCAAGGACTACTTGGAGAAGAAACTAAAGCTACCTCTATGGAAGCCATCATTTTGCGTCTTAGTGACCACTATAGTAGTTGTAGTGGCCTAGTAGTGCCATTTAGAAATCTAAAAAGGCCACTAAGTTTTAGCCATTCAAGTGGCTACTAATAAGACTACTTCATTGGTCATGAAAAGTTCATAACATTTAGGTGGTTTCTAAAATTCTCCCAGAAAATGACGCACTCATTCTTCGCAGAGACTTTCTTCTGTTGATTCTTCTGCTGTTTCAGGCGTTCCTCCTCTTTTTTCCGTTTCTCGTTCAGAACTGCGGCATCGGTTCGCGGTGGCTTTGGTGGTGGGACAATCGACGGCCTTCTCGGCTTGCTTTCATCTTCTCCTGCAACATGAATGTCGCAAAAGTTCGATAAATAAATCAGTAAATGATAAGTAGCACACACAGAAACAATAACGTGTGGAAAAACTAAACGTTATCAAGAAAACAAGAAAATTGAAATTGTCGTAAGATTCGATGCAAGTACGCATTGTGTGTACGCACACTTGAAGGCTACTGTAAGTCTTTTTTCAATTTTATACAAACTAAACTGAATTTTTATATTTTGTCGATCGAATTTGAAATTACCTAAATAAATTCCTTGACTTTGGGCACATTGAGCGGGATTTTGTTTCTTGACGAAGGTCACCATTGGTAGCTCGTCTCGGCGTTGTTTCACTGGCGCCGAGAAGCACCAGACGTCGGGTTGGCGGAACTGGAAAACATAATTTAGATTAAAAGAAGAAAAGTCAATAAAATTGAAACTGTCGTAAGATTCAGTGCAATAACTGCAATACGTGTACGCACACTTAGAGGCTACCGTAAGACTTTTTTTTTAAATTTTCTTTTCTCCCGTTTTTTTTCTATACACCTGTCGTAAGAGTTCATATCAAAATTATCAAAATCTACCTGCCAGAAAGCCTGCCAAATCTTCAGACCACTTTCCAATCGAATATTCTGCGCCACCTCTTCCTCAGTGATAACTTCGGCCAGCGGAGCGATCAAGTAAACGAAAAGTTGGACCGCCGAGATGGTAAAAAGTCCGGTGGCCCTCTGGCTGTCGTCCTGAAAAATCCCAATCCAAAAAAAATTAGTCAATATGACGATTTCTTACCTTGGTGCTAATGGAATCCGTACATTCTGATGCCGAATCGATCAACATCCAATGGAGGATGTAGAGGATCTTCTGCAGGGATGATGGTAATGATTTTTGGCCCGCATTTGCGGCGAGAAGTGATCCGCAGCACTGAATAAATGAAATTTGATGTTATTTGGACCAAAAATCAGAAATTTTTATACAGATGATCTGAATCTTTACAACAGAGTTACTCGCAAAAGTACAGAAAAATGGAGAATTTAGTGTTTCAATTATCCGTTCTAAAAAAGCCATACGATTGTTTTGAACAAAATATAAATTAACCTGGTTCTAAATTCGAAACCGAAAATGCCTAGAAAAATAGAAAATACCCGTGAAGGAATATTAAAAAGGTACTAATGCTACTTTTATACGTCTTCGTGAAATCCTCGTTTACTCATCCGGTTAGAAATGAGCGTTTGATTCATCAAATTTAATTTTCTTCGAAGGAAGATTTTGAGAAATGAGTTCATTGGCTTCAAGGGCATTGGTGACAAGTCGCAGATAGAAATGGAAAATACTTTTTTATATTGAGAAAAAGAACCAACAATGATGCTAATTTCTAACAAATCGGATATTCTTACTACCTTTTATATATACTTTAGTCACAAATGTGAAAGAAAAATTCAAATTTGGTCACAAAAATGGGATAAATATTCAAACAACCAAAGCAGGTAAGAAATACGTCACAAGATGAGGCGGAATAAGCTATAAACATTCGAAAAAAAAATTAAAGGCATTCCTAGTAAATTCAGTCGTCATTTTCAACGCATATGGTGCAACAGGCGGTGATCGCACATAAGATACCGTAGTTCACAAAAAAAAATCAGTGAAATTATATTTATTCAAGATTTTTTTGTTGGGTGATTTTTACTCCTCACCTGAATGACATGAGGAAGCGCCGCCCTGACAAGTTTCCATCTCGATACACTGGCCAAAGCATCCGAAAGGGACGGCGACAGGCCGTGTAGAATATTTTGAACCACAACCCGTTCAAATGTCTGTAAAATCAGTTTGTCAACAAATTTCAGTTACCTTGAAACTAGAATTCAAGGCTACAGATGCTCTATAAGTACATCACTTATTTTTTTCCGCTTGAATTTCATTTGTCACAAAAAAAAAATCAAAACAAGTCCTTGAACAAGTTTATTCAATCTTCAAAGTTTGGCGACATTTCCGAGGCTTTCGCTACACTCAAAAAGTTCTCACGGATTGGCGGCCATTCAAATTCCCGCCAAAAAATGCAAATTCAACCGAAAAAGGCAGAACTCGTCTCTCGCCTTCGGCACAATTTTTGCGCGTAATTAGACGAGAAGCCTCGAAAAAATAAGCGAATAAGCTCGGCTGAGGGGCCGCTTTTTTATTTGCAACAAGAGGAAGCGGTAGTTCTTTGGTTTAGGGCGACTCGAGGATTAATTGAGCAATTTACCCGTCTTTTATTCAAGAAGATCCGTTTTTATTTGATCCCCAACGTGTATTTCAAAAAAAATGTTCAGTAAAAAAAAATGAAAACGTTTTCAAAACTCACCACACAAGATGCTTCGTGGAGTTTTCCGATCTTCGCTCCAAGAAATGGGCTGAAAGTTGAAATATTCACCAAGTTTCGAAATGTCCTCCCTTTTTTCAAACATCCTTACAATTTTTGTTAAGCAGACCAAAAATTATTGTTAGGCAGACCAAAATTTTGTTAAGCAGACCAAAAATTTTTGTTAAGCAGACCAAAACTTCTTGTTAAGCAGACCAAAAATTTTTGTTAAGCAGACCAAAAATTCTTGTTAAGCAGACCAAAATTTTGTTAAGCAGACCAAAATTTTGTTAAGCAGACCAAAAATTTTTGTTAAGCAGACCAAAAATTTTTATTAACCAGACCAAAATTTCTTGTTAAGCAGACCAAAAATTCTTGTTAAGCAGACAAAATACTCTTGTTAAGCAGACCAAATACTCTTGTTAAGCAGACCAAAAATTATTATTAACCAGACCAAAAATTCTTGTTAAGCAGACCAAAATTTTTGTTAAGCAGACAAAAATTTTTGTTAAGCAGACCAAAATTTTTGTTAAGCAGACCAAAATGTTTGTTAAGCAGACCAAAAAAAGAATATTGGAAGTGATATTATTTTTTCAAAACTTCTCTATTCAGCTTCCTTCAAAAAGTAAGAAATAGAAAAGTTAGTATAAAAATAATTGGCGACAAGGCAATTCCCACATCTCATATTTCTCTTTTGCTAGTTTTTTCCGCATCGCAAAACTCGAATTTCACGCCAAAATTTCAAATTTTCTCATAATACACAAAACAAGTCAACATCTTGGAAAGAAAAATTAGTTTTTCGATAATATTAAATTAATTTACTTGAGGAAACAATACATTTTACTAGTTTCATGGATTTACTTGAGGAAACAATACATTTACTAGTTTCATGGATTTCATTTTAAGATTTCCAAATTTTTTCATGTGAAAAAAAGGCTCAGCTCTTTAAATATGAGCAATAAGACGCAACAGAACCGGTTTTGGGGTTGTTTGCAACGTTTTGAAGAGAGAAACGAGAGAGAGGGCCAATTACACGCGAGAGTCTGCTACACGCGGCTCGCGAAAGCCAAATGAAGCAACTAAGTGGTCCCTGAAGGGTCGTTCTGGCAATAAATAGTAATAGCGAGATGGGTCGAATTATGATGCTTTTTTCAGAAGCGTCTGGGGAGTCGTCTAGGATGGATATTGCTGATGTTAAAGGAAATCGCAAATTTATTGTTTCCAGTTTTTTTTCTTAAAAAAAACATTCGAGCAATTTTTCAACGGCTTCTGCCTAACGCTTTCGGTTCCAACTCGACATTCGATTCACAAATGAGCAATAAAATTTAAAAGGAACCAGATTGAAACCTAATTCATTTATCTTTTTTTTTCCAAAAAACTTCCAAAATTATCAGTCGACTTGTAACCTCGTAGTTGTCATCATAACTTGCCGAAGAAAAAAAAAAACTTTTCTGAGCATTTCCTTTTCGCTAAAGTGTGAGAGAAGGGTGAACAATTTGGTTTTGGGCCATTTCATCTCGTTTCCCTCACCCTTCTGCCCACTTGTCCGTCGCCCAAAACCAACGGACGAGACAAAAAAGCAACGAACAAGCTCGAAAAGGACAGATAGGAGAAAAGAAAAAAAAATGTAGGAAAAAGGAAGCAAATCAGCACAAAATTTTCGAAAAGTACATTGACCTTCAATGCAGTGTATTCGATGAGCAAAAAATCATTGTTTTTGAAAAAATCGCTTTCAGTAAAAGTTTTTCACGAGGTCAGGTCAGTTTTGGTCTGCTTATTTTCAAACATCCCAATTTTGGTCTGCTTATTTTCAAATATCTCAATTTTGGTCTGCTTATTTTCCTATAAAAAAATTTTGGTCTGCTTAATTTTCAAATACAACAATTTTGGTCTGCTTATTTTCAAATATCTCAGTTTTGGTCTGCTTATTTTCAAATATCTCAGTTTTGGTCTGCTTATTTTCAAACATCCCAATTTTGGTCTGCTTATTTTCAAATATCTCAATTTTGGTCTGCTTATTTTCCTATAAAAAAATTTTGGTCTGCTTAATTTTCAAATACAACAATTTTGGTCTGCTTATTTTCAAACATCTCAATTTTGGTCTGCTTTGATTTTAGATACCCCATTTTTGTCTGCTTATTTTCAAACCTCTCAATTCTGGTCTGTTTTTCTTTTCTAAATATCTCAATTTTGGTCTGCTCAGTTATAACGCTGAAAAAAGTTCAAAATCCTGAAGCTATCTTTCAGAAGTCCAAAAAAAACTAAAGAGGAATAGGTGAAATACAATATCTACAATTTCAATTTCAGATACAACAATTTTGGTCTGCTTAATTTCAAATACAACAATTTTGGTCTGCTTATTTTCAAATACAACAATTTTTGGTCTGCTTAATTTTTCATATACAACAATTTTTGGTCTGCTTATTTTTTTAAATATCTCAATTTTTGGTCTGCTCAACTTTCTATTTTATAAAAAGTTAGGTTCGCTCTGCTCAACTACAACACTGAGAAGAGTCTTCAAAAAGCTGAAACTTGGCCCATTCTTTCAAAAGTCCAAAACTAAAGTTAATTGGAAAAATTGATATAAAATAGTCTCATCTCATGTTTCTCAAGCGCTAAATCGGGATAACAATGAAAAAATGTTGAACAATCGTTCGAAAACTCTACGAAAACACATCATATGAAAACTAATAATGATATAAAAGAATGAAACTTACTTGGTTTGACGCCACAGGAAAGTTTGAATTGGCAGTGGGACGGCTTCGCACTCGACGTCCCCCTCATCCTCGGTCCTGTAAGATAAAAAAATTTGACTGTTGAAAAACTTGCGGAGTTATATTCAGAAAGAATGAATTATAAAAGAATCTCTTTCTGAAGATTTGACGAGTCTGCGAAATTCGATGCCCCGTGGGACAATCAGGCTCTTCAATAGGACAGAAAAAGAGCAAAAAAAATGAGCCTATTCTGCAAATATAATCTTTTGGAATGCCGCTGTGATACATTGGCATGAAAATGCATTCTGAAATTTCAAAACGTGAGATTCGGAATTAGAAATTGAGGAGAATTGAAGGAAATTATAGGAAATTTTTAAAATATGTGAAAGATATATGAAATAAATGTTGGTAAAAAAATTTCTCAATGCAAGATATCATAGAAAACCTGAGAAAGACTGACAAGTAAAAATCAAAGAAAAAAAATTCATTTTCCTTCAAAAAAAAAATTCTTCTTTTTCTGATGATCGAAATAATTAATAGAATTTTCTATGAAAACCAACCATTTGGCGCTTTTGAACGAGGCGGCGGTGCTGAGCGGCATCAGCAGCAGCTGGACGGTGCCCTGGTGCTGGTGCTGTAAATATCGCACGTGCATCAGCACCGAATGCACCGAAAGCCTTCAGCTTCTCTTTTTTTTCCTTCTTGTTTTAAAAATACATCCGTCTACAGTATTCCTAATGATGGAATATTGGTTTTGTTGCAGGACCCATTTCAGAGACAGTCTCAACGTTTTGAGGGATCTTATGGAGCCATAGCGGTGTTGAGAACGTATTTCAAGGTGAGGCTGAAATTTAGTCAATTTCATTTTCAAAATGTTGAAGCGAAGGGCGAAAAAAGGTTAACTTGAAAAGAACGATATGTCAGTTTTTGAAAGGAGGCTTCAATTGATAACATGCTGGAATAAACCTCAGTCAATATTCAAAACTACATCCTCCTAAAAAGAAAAAGAAAATGTCAATATATGTGAAAACAAATGAAAAAAGAGTATTTCGAAAAATTTTAGCGAATTCAAAATCTGAAAATCTTGTTAATTTGAACTACAAGGGCAGTTAGAAATGGCGTTTTAATTTAAAATTTTTTTTAAAATTCAGAGATGTCAAAAACAGCGGTAGCCATGAGTCTTCAGCCCGTAAGCTATGGAAAAAGACAAGTTTTATCTAGAAAAAGACACAGAGACAACTCAAAAAGCAAATCCAAGTATGTCTACACTTATATAAGAGGCTCATAAAAAGCGGCCCAAAAGAAGGGACCAAAAGCTGCTGAGGGGTCTGCTAAAGCAGAGGGCGGAGCCTATCGACTTTTTTTTTCTCTTCTCGATGGAAAATAGGCGTGGTTCTCATCTCTTTCTATTCCCTTTGGCCTCCAAGAAGATGCCGCCTGGTCGCTGAGCGTTTTTCATTTTCAAGAGTTGTTGAAATTGAACAAAAATACGAGAAGACGGATTCAGTGGAAGTAGAAAAACAATTTTCTCTTTATTTGGATCTTTTCGTAGACTGTTTAAGGAGAGCTCTGTCGTTTAGATGCAAAACAAGGAAGCTTTGAAAAAAAAAACCCCTAACTTCGCAATCTTGAAATCCTCTACTAAAAACTCAACTACGGAACTTTCCCAACAGTTTTTCTTAAAAGACGACAAAAATCAGGATCGAACTCCCTTTCATTTTCGGGATCGTTTTTTTTTCAAAAACAGAAGAACTGTAGAAAATGGAAAATTATGAAGATACACCGTTTAGCCAAGTGACCAGCTTCCACACTGTTGAATAAAATCAGAATATATGAAGTCACAAAAAGTTCAGAAAAAACGACAATCTGTTCCAAACCAAAGAGGAGCAAAAACTAACTTCAACTGAAAACTAAATTTTGGTTTGCTTATTTTAAGCGGACCAAAATCATTCATATGAGCCCAGAAAATACCTATCAATTTCAAAAAAAAACCTAAAAATAATTTTTCTAATCCTGCGCTAGAGAAAAAGCGAAGTCGGTTGCAGTACATGGACCACCTCGCATATGAATTGACGCTCTGGACTAGAATTTTTTTTGACCCGACCATTTCTCTCACTTTTGTCACACCCTCAAAAAAAATTTTTAACTTTCAAAATCCGAGGACCCGACGAGAAAAATGCGTGATCGCTCCAAGGAAAACGCAAGACCGACGCGGCTACGGCGCAGTATTTTTGCGAGGTCTTCAATGTACCACTAGAGACGTCGCTTTCAACTCGAAAGTAGTTCTTACACGAGAGTTAATTTTACTTTACGGTTGAGAATTTCCTGAAAATTGGCCAGAACACTCCTCGGTGTACCATATTAAGCTTTTGGAAGTCTCAACCTGCACAACTTCTTAGTTTTTGAGAAATAAGAGCCCAATACGCCTATTTTGATGGATTTTGAGTGTTTAATTTGACTTTGAGGCGTCATTTTTCGAGCATCAGAAAGTTTTCAGGTTGAGACTTTCGGGATTATCCCCTCGTACATAAATAAGTAATCTGGTCATTTTTCAGGAAAATCCGAACCGCAAAATAAAAGGACCTTCCTTGTTAGCGTTATTAGTCAAATACCAAAAATTAGCTTCTAGAAAAGAAGCAGATCAAAATTTCGTTCAGAAAAAAATAAGCAGACCAAAACCAAATCATTTATTCCTCGGACCTCGAAAACCGAATGCGCTCTGGGCTTTTCTGAGCAACTCTAGGGATCACTTAAGAGGGCTGACGCTACTAAAGGGGTCACTAGAACCGACACGTCCGGAGCTGGTTTTCGTTCCCGAGATTCGGATTCGCATTACCAAAAATTTTAAAATACCTATTTTTTCTATATATGACGAGTTTCAAGTCAGTTTTTCGAAATACTTACAAACATTCACTTTCTTTTGATTTCTTCCATTTTTGCCAGATACTCTCTGAAATCCTAATGATAACCATTTCGCACCTGATACATTTCGATTTCAGGTAAAATTAAAAAGGTTGACATGAAATTTATTGAAAAAAAAAGAAATTCTCCTGTTTTGAGCCGCCAATATTTGGTTTTTCAAAGCCTAAAACTTATACTATCGAGAATTTTCGGCATTCTAGCTTTAAAATTTTTAAAAAATCCGAAAAAGTGACCGAACCGACCGACTTTTCCAGCATGCAATTCTTCTGGCTTTACCTTAATGTGTGTTCAAAAAAAAAGGCTGAGCAAGTTTGTACAAATTTACGGCCGTTCAAAGTTGCAGGTCCTAAGGCAGCCCCAAAAAGGACTTTTTTCAAACTAAATTTTGAAAAAAACGTATGCTTAAGGTGTTCCATGAAATGTACTTTATCAGTGAAAGCAGAACGAATAACTTCTCTAACGGACGGTCTCGGTAATTTTCAAATAAATCTGATTCAACGTAAAACCGCACCTCTCAATCTTAAATTCATTCCTAGGCTTTTCTGTCGACGGATGGAACTTTCTGACTGAAGAAAAAAAAAGAAACAGATTTGCTATTTTTCATACTTCGAATTTTAATCGATTTCGTATATGGATAGAAACATTTTGTTAAACTTTTCGTATAGATCTCCAACTGGCTTTATTAGAAACAAAAAAATCAATAAAACTCAATTTCCAAAAGATTTATTATTAAAACACCCAAATTAAATTGAATGAATGGGTCCCGCAACAAAAAGCAAATTTTTAATAAGTTTTCCAAAAAATTATGAAAAACCCTACCTTTCATTTTTCTGTCGCGTCATCTTCAATAATCGGCCTTTTGTATAACGATTAATAGCCGTTTTCTGCTTGCACCAAACCTGAAAATCAAAATTATTAATGGAAAATGAGAATGAGAATGAGAAACAAATGAAACGTGCAGAGTTAACGAAAGCAAAAAAAAATACTTGAATAGTTGATAAACGTCAGGAAATCACGCGAACATACTGTAGGAGAAAAGTATAATTTAATGTATAGACTTTTGCTTAGTTCAAAAAGCCAAAACGTTCAAAGAAAGTAAAAAAGTAACCCCTCAACTTCTATGGTAAGCCGAAAAGTGCCTTTGAAACAGCATTGACAAATAACTTAAACTTCAGATTAGCAGAAAAATAGAAGAATTAAATAGAGCAGACAGTCCGATATTCAAAAACAATTTTTTTTCTTTAACAATTATTTCAAAAAAGTCAAAGCAAACTGAGTTGAACTTATTTTTTTATTTATATCACGTCAAATAAAAAAACTTCAAACGAAAAATCAATTATAGTAAAGACTGAAAAGTTTCCTCACAGTTTTCTCTGTTCAGTAATTTCGAAATGAACTGTTTAGCCACATCGAAAGAGAAAAACGTTTAACTCAATTCGATTTTCCATTAAATATAAAGAATCTAAAACAAAACTTTTTGTAAATCGAATTTTTTTCAAGGTGAAATTACACAGGAGTTGCGGAGTTACGCAATTACGCAAACCGGAACGCGCAAAAAAATTGAGAATTTCCGAAAATTTCGTTTTGTTCTTTTTATAAAAATTTTAATAATATTTGATAAATGCTTTTTTTGACGAATTCGTTCTTTTTGATTAAAAAGTTTGAATTTTGAAAAAAATTCCAATAATTGAAAAAAAGAATAAAGAAAAAAACTTTTTAAAAAGTTCTACCCCGACTATAAATCCCTTTGACATTTTTTTCAACTTTATTAGTTTTTTTCTTTTTCTTTTTCTTTCAATGTCAAGTATTTACGTTGCGCGAGAGGAAAAAAATAAATTTTTCTGTCTCCTAGAGAGACGGCACAGTGCTAACCGGACCGCTTTCAACAGTAATGAATAGACGTGAAGCGATTAGTCGTTTTATTCTAACTTTTTTCTTACCGGAGCAGTCATATAAAACAAAAAAAAGTTGTAATTTGGGTTAAACTTTGACAAATAAAAATTTTATTTTACTAATTTGTAAGATATTTTCGTTTTCATTGGAAAAGCGGTTTTTTCCAATGCGTAACCCACTTTCGAAGAAGAGAAGCTAAACTCAAGAAATTTATATTGAAGCCGTGACCAACTGTTTAGAAGAGGGAATCCAGGGCGAGAACGGAAAAAATAACAAAGAGAATGACCGAAAAGCTGAAAACCGCCCACAGCCGTCCATTAATTGAGCCTTCCCATTCCATTCCATTGTGTCATTAAATGCGTTTCGAGAGGCGAAAACGAGGAAAAAAGTTAACGAGGTGCTCGGCGAGCCGCCAATGGGCTCGTTGAATCGAGCCAACTGTTTTCAGACTATTATGTTGATTTTCCGTTATGATATGATTGAACTGAATTTCAAATCAGATACTTCACAAAAAAAAGCGAGTTAGTGTTATTGTGGTATAAGAATCATCATATAACTCGAACTAAATGGAAAAAAAAACTTGTAAAAAAACCTCCAAAAATTCAAGCATAAAAAGGAAAAAAAGCCGAACAGCGCTGAAACTGACACACTTTTAACAATTAGGAGCGAAAAAAACAATGGAATTATTCACGAAAAGCGCCTCTTCTTGAGAATAATTAAGGCGGGAACAGGAAGGCGTCCTAGTTTTTTTTAGGATTTTCAAAAAAATTAAAAAAATGAGGAAGGCGAATTCGATGAAAATTGAGATTATTACAAGAAAAAAAGAGGAGGCAGCGAAAA